GGCGCCGGGCTACTCAAAATTATGCGGAATCATGTTATTAACATTAACTATACCAGGACTGTACCAGGACTGAACCAGGTCTAAACCAGGACTAAACCAGGACTAAACCAAGTCTAAACCAGGTCTAAACCAGGACTAATCTTGGACTTGAGAGCAAGAGGGAGAACCCCGAGCTTGAGAAGCAGGTGCCCACGATCACCCGACGGTCTACGCGGGCGCACCTACGGGCCTGTCTTCACACTCAGTCCTGGTTTAGTTCAGTCTTGGTTTAGTCCTGGTTTAGTTCAGTCCTATTTTAGTCCTGTTTTAGTTCTGGTTCAGTCCTGGTTTAGTCCTCCTGGTTCAGTCCTGGGATCAGTTCTGGTTTAATCCTCCTGGATCAGTCCTGGTTTAGTCCTGGTCCCTCATGTCGCTGATCACTGTAGGACAGTAGTGCAGATATCATGAGCCTGTGCAGGTTGTTTTCACCAGTGCCAATAGCTCCAGTTTGACATTTAAGTTATAGCTATTTTATATTTGTTATTATTTTATATCTCATGTCCTGAGAAATGGGTGGACAGTGTACCCCTGTGTACCACGCCTACACCCCTGTTTACCTGGAATGTCCCACGGTACAACATTAAAGTTCAATCACGGAAACAAACACGTGGAATAAATACACCGGTAATGGAAAAAAAATTAAATCGTTGTCTAATGCCAGCTTCCTTGTGACCTTAATATTATTTGAGAGCAACTTGTTTACCAGCAGAAATCACCTCGCCTGTTATAGTTCCTGCTAAGTCGGTTCTTTAAGGTCATATTGTGTTAAAACAAAACTCAGATTAAAGTCTGACAAAGCCTGAGACAGGGCATGCCTACAGTTAAAATCACATTGCCAGGAAATGTAGATGACATCAGCTGCAAAGTATCAATATAGTAAAACTGAAAGGGTATAAGGTCATGTTTATTCAGTTTTATATTTAATTTGACAGTCTGTTCCCTTTTTTTGCGATACTAGTTTATCATGAAGGACACAGGGACAACAGAGGTGAAGTTGGACTATGTAAACTGCAGCTCACGTGACTAAGACCACAGAGGGTTAACCGCATCGAAGCACTGCTATTAAGACTGCACCAGAATAGTGAGAAAAGTGCAGGGGAAACAGAGGCATGTTCACTGACCAGGGATTATAATATACTAACAGAAAGTAAGTTGGACAGTGCATGGCGACGGCAGTTTGAATATTAAAAATGCCTCCACAGCCGCTCCACAAACTTGCTGACTTTCTTATCAGGCCTAATCCACTCCTCACAACATTTTGGAGAGCTTAACTTGAGATGTGACGTTTTTCACTTCAAATTTACGTGACATTTAAAATTTTCAGAGATTTTTTAAACCAATTTTCAGCTCAAAATATAGTGAGAGCTAGCTATGTCAAGAATTTATAGTTGTCAAATTAAGGGTTGTGCTAGATATTAAACTCAAAAGGCATGCAAAAGTGGGCCAACTGAGGAGCCAAACATTTTAAGAATTGTACAAGTAAGAGTTGCCAACTGGCATTCTGTTCAGTATTAACTTTGTACTCCAATTTTATTTTCTTAATCTGTGATATGCGTAGGATTTGGACTCATTTTGGTACAAATTTAAGAAAATCCGTGGCTCACTAGTGTGATATGCATCTATCCATTGGAAGGGCCAACAACTTCACAGCTCTTTGTTACGATGTTTGTGGTGACGTCAGCTCTCATCGGGTACCCCAGTTTTCTAACATGAAAGTCAGTATTGTTCGGACTATAAGTCACACTTTTTTTCATGGTTTGGGTGGTCCTGCGACTTACACTCCTGTGTGACTTATGTATTAAAATTTTCGTACTGAAGCGGCGAGAGAGCACTCTAGGGTTGGGTGTCAGTATCTAATCTAATCTAATCTCTATTAGCCTTGTACCACTGTCACTTGGATCTACTGCACATGTCTCCTGCATGTGTCCTGCTGCAAGTAGCAAAATATACAGCTGAAAACGGTAATCGAACAGCAGAAAGAAAGTTTGGAGTGAATGAGAAACCTGTGAGGGACTGCCGGAAAGCAGAGATGGAGAACACAGCTTCACGGTAACCAGACAAATGCGCCATGCAATTTTCCTGTAAGTCATTGGATGGATCGGCAAAAGCATAGACTTCAGTGACAACCAAAACCATCTTGTCGGGATTCAGAAAAGCTGGAATAATTCTAACTGGAACTGATGCTGAGTCTGACAACAGCTACGCAGAAGAGGAAGTGGCGCTCCATTTTCCTCCAGAGGTCTCGGAGTTGCTCAGAAGTGATACCGAGGATGAAGAATTCAATGGATTTAGTGATTTGGAGGGAGATGAGAGAATTTGATAAACTTGTTCTGTTCTGTTGTTTATGCTATAGTTATCTGAAGAACTGTTTATATGTTACATTAACAGCCTGTTGTTCTCTGTTCTATTGTTGTATTGTATTCCTGGTATCAGATTTTATCAAATCCCCCCCCCCAAAGTGCGACTTATAGTCTGATGCGACTTATATATGTTTTTTCTTCTTCATTACGCCTGTTTTTGGCTGGTGCAGCTTATACTCCAGAGTGACTCATAGTCCAAAAAATAAGGTAAATTGTTTTAGATTAAACTTGTGATTTAAAATGAGTAAATTATAACATCATGATCCACGGGTGTCATAGATTATAACTATATAGTAGATACAACCATTATAGGTCTGCTTTAAGAAAATAAAACTAAGTTAATACAGAGTAGTGGGCTTGAGAACGGGAGTTTTCAGTGCAGTTGCATCTTGAATGCATATTTCGCAAACAGGCATCATTATTATTTGTATATTTTTGATCTACTGTCTTTCACATTTACTTTAGGATCAGTAAAGTCAATCTAAGTTAAATTTTAAATAAGTGAGATCCTGTTAATATTACAGTGAATCATTCAGGGACAAAACAATGTCCTTCTTTGTATCCACGTTTTTATGGAGACATCTGTAGCGTGTTTAGTGAGGTCAGAGTACACACACATTACATTAGAAATCGCAGCTAAGCAAGGTCAATGACATTATCCTTTTTGTTTAAAACAGACAAACAAGATAAAACCTATAATACCTCTTGTTCATATTGGTTTTGCTGCATTGGTTTTTCTGTGTATCATAGTTACAGCAGATATAAGCTTTGTGAAAAAAAACTGTAAGGATTAAACAGAATATTGACATTGAGACGGATGATCCTTTGTCTTCTGAGGCTCTCAGGCTTGAGCTCTATAAGCCAGTTAGCAGCAGCCTTACATCTTCTTCCTCATACCTCCTCTTCTTATGGAAAGGATAGACTAATGAGATTGGTGCTTAATCTGAGGAAGCTAACAATAGGATAATGACGAGCAGCCAAAGAGGGAATAATCCGTCCGGTTATGCTCTTTAATTGTAGATTATGTAACCTAAAGACCTATCCTTTTAGTGGGGCTCACCTCTACCAACCTCCAGCTCAGGGATCCTCTGTAATTCACTGTACACAGGTTAGAGTTCAGGAGGAAAGTGAATCAAAAGTGTTATGCCATCAGTAATCATCGATATATCGCTAAGAGTATTTTTGGTATATTTTACTAAATTATTTTGTTGCTTCTTTAGTGGAAGGAAACTAATTTATGCAACACATTTGACATTTTCACTGTTTTGATGATTAAAATCTATGTGTTTCATATTAACTTTGCTCAAGAAGTGGTTTGACAAAGACTTTTACTATCACAGCCATGATTTAGCCTTTATTTTTTATTGAACTGTATCGAGAGATATGTATCATATCGGCAACTTCTTAATGATACCCAGCCCTAGTAAATATTCATGCATTTTTTCTGAGAAATAAAACCCCTTTAATGGAATCAGTTCTAGATTTAATACCTCGCTGTCACAGGCAAAGCAATAATATCTTCACGGATTCAAGCAGATTGCAAAAACCCAACCAGAAAAGTTACATAATGCACCTTTAAATAGAAAGGTGCTGAATCACAATATAACAGTACTGGCCTAGTTTAGTATTATTATTATTTCAGTCCAGTTTCATACAGTTGTATTTCTCATCCTTATGTACAAATTGCAAGGTTTTGGTGTGGGTTGTTTCTGCATCTGTAACTGCAATGCCCTGGTGGTCATTCAATTCCTGTACTTAGAAAATATATGTTGTAATCCAAGACATTCTTTGGTGATATCCTAATACAGGCCTTGCATGTTTGACAGAATTGGCCAGTTTCACAAACAGATGGGAATGAATAAAGCCAGGAGATGATCACAAGGTCTGCACATTTGCCCTCACACCCATTGATCATTTCTATGGAGTTCACTTGAGGCTTTTGACAAACAAGTGAATAGTTATTGCTCATGTGTCTGATTATAGTATATCACATCTTCTTTTCTAAACACGTTGCTTTTTCTGATAGTCCAAGAAATGGCAAATCATAAGAACATGAAATCAACAAAAAATTGAAGCAAAGTTGAAGCAAACCTAAAGATGCACTATGGAACTTTTATGGTGAAGTGCAAACTGTTTCTTGTTTTTGTGGAAGTGTAATTGCTTTACTTGGAATGTTCCACAGTATGGCATTCAGCGTATCTATTTCTGTAGAGACATGTAACGCCTATATAGTAAGACTTTTTTTTTTTTTGCATTAGATTCTGTATTAAAAACAATGCTAACTGAATAACTGCAAAATACATAATTTAATGCCATACTGTGAAACATCCTAGACACAGCAATAAGATCTCCATGGCGACAAACAGTTGACAGACCACCATCACAACCACCAAGTTACACTTTCAGTTTAATTTCAGTTCAATGTACACTACACTCCAAAAAGGCAAACCTAAATGTAAAGTGTCTTTTTGTCTGTGGTTTAAGGATTTCATTGTTCTTTGGTCATTAAAGTCATTTTAAAATCATTATGTCTAAAATTTGACATTATAACATATCTCGTCCTTAAAAGAAAAACTACATTTGTTGACTTTGTCTTAACAGATCTTGGAAAAATCCTCCTCATGAGACGATTTTCCTGGATGTGCCAAAGAAAGCCCAAGAGTGAACGAGCTCCAGAATGTTAAGACTAACTCTGGAGGTAAAAGACTTTTTTACAATGTTGATGTTTCACAATCAGCAGGACTGCCTCTAATATTGATTGTGAACATAATTATTATGTTTATACAGTCGAGTGAAGATCTTGTTTCAAATACTCAGACATGGGTGTCTCATTTTTGGAGACGAGCATGCCTGCAGTGAATTCCATTTAAAACATCAACAAAGATCTTTACTCGATTCATCCATACCGTGTGCTTGCATTGAAAAAAACAACTTAAAAAAATAAATTACAATCATTGTGACAAAGTGTTGAGAGCAGAGAGAATTCCTGCTATCAGTCAGATTTATTTTAGAGATATATTTAACATTAAAAATAGATTGTGGCATGAATTGTTTAAATTATGTTTTAATACTAGTTAAGATGAAATGGAATTTTGTGGTGGATTTCATTATTTTACATTTGTGAAAACGATTATGAACTAGAATGGAAACATGCAAATGTAAAATGCCTTTTTATCTATAACGATTTCATTGTTCTTTGGTCATTAAAGTAAGTTTAAAATCATGCTGTCTACTAAAATATGACTTCATAACATACCTCGACCCTAATAGAAAAACTGTATTTGTTGACACTCCCTTGACAGATCTCAGAAAAACCCTCCTCCTGAGACTACTTTCTTCAGAATAAATGTGCGTGCATCTAACTAAATCACCGTATTTGATTCTATTAGCTCGGTGACCATCTGTTTGCTGTTAGCAGTGTGCAGGGAGGAGACCACCGCCCGCTCTGAAGCCTTCCTCCTCTGCTGGGCCTGTTTTAACTCTCTCTGACCTCCAAAATGCGACTCGACCTACACCCCCGCGCTGTCACCTGCTCCGCCATCAGAAACTGGACTTTAGCCTGTCCGCACGTCGCCCATAACATGCTAACACTCGCTGCCAAAACGCTCATAAATCAGTCAAAGAGTGTCTGTGCGAGTGACCCTTCGCTGATCGGGTTTTGGAAAATCTTGCTGAAACCCGCCGAGCATGTAACCCATCTGCCAAAGAAAGCGCGAGCCAGACGACCGTGGCCTTAGTATGCGTTGAGTATGTGTGGTCCTGCGTGGCATCTGGACACTTGTGAAGATATACTGTTCAGAGGCATGCTAATTTTGAGAGATCTCGTGTCCGTTTGAGCCGTAGCAGCGTGTGTATTTGTGTACGCCGTGCAAACCTCCCACCTGTCGGATTTAAAAGACCCCCTATATCACCATGACGACCACTCACTCAGCCAACAGGTTCACCGCGCAACAAGTGGGCTTCTCATCTTTTGGATTTGGATGTTAGAAATTGGAAAAATCTGCCATATTTACTGTATCGTTAGAAACATGTTCATAGAGATGCATTAGCCCAAACTAGGAATGCACCGATCTGATACTTTCTGAAATCGACATCGATACTGAAAATAACAAATATTGATTTAGTCGATATCTTGTTTTGGCAGAAAAATCACTGTAATATGACTATTTACTGGCTGTAATTGGCCCAGAAAATCTCAGAATGTGTGAACATTTATTTATACAAAGTTGTCCTGTAGTCACTTGAGAGATAAATAACTCTTATATAACACATCAGTTCTGTCTTATTTTTTTGTGTGTGTAATATAAGAAAATAAATGCTGTTTCCAGTCCCTACACTGTTATCAGTTGGTATAGGTAATCTGCAGATACTTAAAGCTGGATCAGTGCATCTCTAGCCAAAAACATTATTAAAAAGTAAACAAAAGAGCAGAGGAATGACCCCTTAAACTGCTGGGCCACTACTGGTTTATTTATAACAAAATACTTTGTAAATACACTACCAAAAGTTTTATAACACACTAATTTTTCCAGTTACTTATTGCAATTCAAGTTGTGCAAGTCCAATGAATATTCGGAAATCGTACAAAGATAAATACTGCACAGCCAGAGGTTAAATAAAAGATAAAAGATAACAAAGCACAAGACCAAGCTCTGCCAAAACTACCTCAGGAAAAAAACTAGATGGTAAACTTGAAAACATGGAGTGTCCAGCACAGTCTCCAGAGTTAAACTCCATCGAGCTGGTTTTGGGATGAACTGGACAGAGGATTGAAAGCCAAGAAACCTACAAGTGCCACACATTTATCAGAACTTCTGCAACAGAATTGAGAAGAACTTTCTGAAGAATATTTGATATTGAACGAGCCACGAGTGTGTTCAGCTGTTAAATGTGCCAAAGGTGGACACTTTCATGAATCAAAAGTTTAGAATATGTTTTGGTCAACAGTAAACAGAAAAAAAATGGAAAAAGAGTGGTGTTTTAAAACTTCTGACTGGTAGTATAGGTGAACATTTGAAACCTCACCTCTATCACCAATTCAATGTTTATAACTAACACTGTTTTGAAATGATTGCAAATAATTCTCATAAAGTTTCAGATGGGCCAGCCCAAGTCTCTGTGATTTTAAAATACTTTGATTTTACAATACATTGTGTTGTCATGAAACATTACCTTTTATAGTAGTGTGCACCATTTTTATGAAATTGTAAAGTGTCTCGGTTTCCACACCTGTTTATGTTCTGGAAATAAAGATTTTACTGGGCTTACATGTTGGTGCATTTTACACAGGGCTGCATCCTTTTTGAATTTGGCATTGGTACCATTATAACAAGCTTGCCATTTTAGTTCAGTGTTACTTTATTTGGATGCAACAATAATAGCTGCTGATATGATCCAGAAAAACATTGCTGGACTGAATCTTAGTCCGGCTGCTGCTCCATGTTATCAGTCATGGTTGAGCTATGGACACAATAATAATTAAATAAGAACATGTTTTATTTGTTGTTCTGTAGTTATGGATACAAAACAATTACATAATGCATTCAGGTCTATTTTTAAAGGAATGTCGTTACCTCATAAAAACATACCTGAAGTTGTGTTTTGTTTCATTCACACATGTTCGAGTAATTCTTTATCTTCTGTCTGCATCTCCAAAGCTCAAAATGCTTTGTTCCACCTTGTGATGTTATGAAGCGGTAGTTAAGTTAACAGCTCCTTTTACCTTTTGTTCAGTAGAGATTGGTATTTCAAAGGCTCAAATCACCCAAATTCTAGTGAAGTATAAAGTTTAAAAACACAGTGGTGCAAAGTGGAGTGTTTCCAGTTTGAGAGAATGAAACAAAACACAACTCCAGGAATGTTTTTGATGAGGAAAAAACATTATAGCAGATCAGAAAATAGCATCATTTACAGTATCGTAATTGGACTGTTGCATCTCTAATATTTATAGAAACTTTGGTGGTAGAGATGTGGCCGCACAAACATACCAACAGGTGTTTCTATAGTAACAGTGTGACATGTGCCCTTTAGGACATGATAATTTGTGAGGAAATAGATCACTAATGCAAACTGTGCATGTGTTTAGGGTGAAGCAGCGGGAGGCCACTTGACATGAGAGCGCTAGCCTCGATGTTCTCGATAATTTGGCTCACGATTATGCAGCGTTGCCGTGCCGATGGTGGACAAAGAAAGAACAGAGAGACAGAACAGGAGGCCCAGTGCAACAGTGTGGCACGACGGAGGAGTTACAGAGCTGCTGTCCGAGCACTGCTAAAAGAACGAGGTATTGAAATGCCTTGAATTCACTTTCAGTTTTGACCAGTTTTGACTCTAGTTTTCTGGACTTGTTTCTAAGTATTTCTGATGCATTATTGGGGAAAGTTTCTTACTATATTTGAACAAATTTGAACTACACTGAAGATCTATAGGTTGCCTGTCTCCATAGTTATTACATTGCCTCCATAAAGACACGTGTGGAGAGGTTCACAGTAAAAATGCTATTTTTAGTGAAGAACAAGAAGACAGATTTAATGAAATACAGTGGAGCATAAGCAAAGCAATAGCACCTCCATTCAAAAGTTACATAGTACACCTTCAAGTATTGGCACCTAAACCAAAACTATCCAGATTAATTCTTGTGGTATTGTTGGGACTTGTTACAAACGGTTTGTTACAAAACATTTTCTCTCAGCACATGACATGTTATGTAGTCCATTTAACAATTATCATGTTCATTATTTATCTACTGTCATCACATTAGACGTTCCAGCTTGACAGCGAGCTAAACTCTGATTCAGTGACGAGACAGTTGTTGTAGTTTTCAGATTTAATGCCTAGAGAGAAAATACAAAAGTCCACTCAGCGATCTCTTAATAATTTCATATTCCAGTACAGATACTGAGAGCTGAGTAACTTGTAGTAAAGCAGTTACAACAAACTGCCCATAAAAATTGGCTTGTATTAAAACATATTAAAATAAATACATGAATTTCTCACAGATCCTTTTTTTTTTATTTGTTTATTATTTTTTTTTATTATCATTAGCATATTACCTGAGGATGCATGATACAAAGAAAATAACAGTTACAATTTCATTTTTTTAAGTAATTTATACATACATAAAATTACATAAATTAAAAGTACAAATGTATACACACAAGCATTGCTTCTGTAGGAGTTGCACTAAGTTTGATTTTTAGCGGTATGAGTCCGTTTTGATGCCTCTTTGTTGCCAACTTGCGTTTTCATATCTCACGCGTATTTTCAGACTTCCAGTTCCACAGTCTGGTGTGGAGTTCCAAAATAAAAGCACGGATTTCAAAATAAACTATATGCATTAAAATGAAATACTGTCCGAAATACAGAACAATTTAAATACTTAAGAATCACAATTAATTCAATTAGTTCAACCTCAAGATGTTGAATCACAGCTCTGTTGCCTTGGTCTGTTCTAATCAAATGCGTCTAGTTAAAGCAAAATGTTAAACTTGTCAGAAATATCTAAACAAAGTAGTGAATTTTCTCAAAGGGCTCAAACCAAGATCGATATTCTGGATTGAGGGGCACGTATCTGGTGTAGACGTTGTTAGTGCAGTGTGTGTTATGTTGTGTTGATCTGCTGGGCTTATGAGGATGGACACTTGCTCACTGGTATGTGAGTAGTACTCCTGCAGTAAACTATATTTGGAGGAGGTCAAAGGCAGTGTGTATGTATGCAGAAAATGCTAATGTATCCATGACGGCCATACGTGCACTTTGCCCCTGCATCTGTAACACTGTAACCTAAACTCACAGTGTTTATGTGCCCACTGGTCGGCTAAACTTGGTTAGCACACTGCAAAACATGAACATCTACATTCATTTAAAGATCACATATTATGCTTCTGTCTGCTCTGTAGTTATACAGCGGCAAAATCGCAATATTAATCTTAAACTTGTTAGGTGACTTGCGTGTAGGAAACTGCGGTGCCCAATTGGAGCTGACGTCAAATGTAATCACAACAAAGAGTCAGCGTCTCTGATGGATAGCTGCAAATCACGCTAGCGAGTAGAGGACGGTGCCAAATCCATGTGTATTACCGAATCTGATTAAGAAAATAAAATTAGATGGAGAAGTAAGTACAGGGCAGTCTGCTCAGATATTGATGAATCACTCGAAATACCATTTAGAGGGTAAATGTCAATGAGACGGGCCTACATATATAAATATCTATGGTTAAAAGCCCTGACAAGTGGATTTTGCTTTAAATGACTTGAATGTAGAATATTAGTAACCTGAATTTGGTAAGGTGTACTAGGTAACTTTTCTGACGGAGAGTATGCCACCTGCTTGTCTCCATGGAGATGCTATTGTTATGACTGGAATGTTCCACTGCATGGCATTAAAACTGAGTCTGATTCATGAGTTGGTTTCACTTTGTGGAAACCGTCTGACCTCGCAGCATTAGGATTCGTTCGCTCAACAGTAGGCGGGTACTTTGTTTATTTAACCAGTCACTGCTATTTGGTTGTGGCGTATGTAATGCGCCAAATCCCATAGGAAGAAGGGCAATTATGTCTTTCCACTTGATAAAATTCACCAAACATTCTCTTTGTTTCGGCTTTAAATTCTCGATCTCGGGAATCATTTCCAACACAGAATGTATGGCTTCGTCTACATCCATTTCGACCGTTTGTTTACTGTTGTGCTGAATCACAAATGGGACCCAAACAGGTGCTGAGTTTGACGTCATGGCTTCACAGCTCTTCTGTGATTGGTTAGTGCACGGTCTACAACTTCTGTGGTTCTTGCAAACTGTCTAGTGTATTCTGATTCCTGACGTAGTCGCTGTAGAGAAATGAAATTGGGCGGAGGGACTAAGTGGCGCCAACCTGATTAATTAAAAAATATCTGTCTTGCTTTTATTCGATTACAGGTGTTTATATTGCTGAACAATATGAAAACACACGCATTCTTACTATGAACAGCAGCATGTCAACTCAGATATGACTTATTACTCGGCCCAATTGCGCCACTCTCTTTTCTTCGTGGAGGTAAATTAGATTAATGCCATGTTGTGGTACATTCCAGGCAAAGTAGTCAACATCTCTTCAGGGAGAAAAGCAGATGGCAGACTCCACCTGAACATGTCCATAGTGCACCTTTAATTGCTTATATGCTTACTTTTTAATTACATTCCTGACTGGCCCAAATATCTCTTAACTTGAAATAAGAAGTAGTGCTTATAAGTAATTGTAAGCATTAAGATTACTATGGTAAAATTCATGTTATTTTCTCAAATCCAGCCATTAATTTTTTGCAGAGTTGTTAGCCTGAACTTGGTTAGCGGAGTTAGCAGACTTAACATCTCTGGCTACACTTAAACGCTAATCCCCGGGTCCTATGATTAGCCGCGTTTAGCATACCCCACATATCTGAGGATGTAGAGGTCACTTTGCAAAACAGGCACGTATTGATTGGTGAAACTGAAGACACGTGGACCACAGTAAATGTAACACAAGGAAGTGGTGGTAATTGCCCCATTCCACATGATTTTAGAGCTTGGATTCTGCCACAAAATCATTAGAGAGGGACAGTGGGACATTCAATACTCCGTGTGAGAAATGTAAGTAACAGTTTGAATTTAAAGTGTTGTTGCTACATTTGATATCAAGTGTTCAGGCCAAAGAAAGCTTTTTGGTCCATGCTGAACCTTAAAAAACAACTTCCTTATTATATTGAGTAGGTCTGTACACGGTGAAAAGCGATATTCTTATTTTCTAGTTTTATTCTAGGTCCTATATTATACAAAATCTTGTGAGTCTAAGGCATGTCAAGCTGTTTTTACCTCCTCAAAAACATACCTGGAGTTGTATTTTGTTTCATTCACACATGTCAAGTAATTCTAGTTTATGAGTCTTTCTACAGCTCCAAAACTCAAATTGCTTGGTTCCTCCTTGTAATTTTCAAGTTAGAAGCTACCTTTTACCTTTTGTTTAGTAGAGATTGGTAATTCCAGGGCCGAAAACATCCAAATGATTCTAGTGAAGGAGTATGTTTAGAGTTGAGTTGAGTTTAAAAACACAGTGGAGCATTTCCTGCATCTGTTTGAGAGAAGAACTCAGGGTTTGAGTTAAAAGTGGGTGAATCAAACCAAAACAAAACTATGGGTATGTTTTTGATGGGAAAAGCATTATCATACATAGATCACAAATGGTGTAATATGGGCCCTTTAACTCCTGAAATGTAGTAAATTAAAGATAGCTAAGTTTATACCCCACTGTGGAATAGGGGTGTGTAAAAATATTGAAATATCCATATAACGCATCATTTAATGCAGACCTGGGTATTGTACAGCTCCTGAGCCACATACGACCCTTTGGTTAACTCTGACCATCCTGTTTAAGATTATTTGGAATTACAAAATAAACATATTTTATCATATCATATTTCCCTCATGCTAAAGCTGCATTGCTCTTATTTTAAAGGTGTTTTTTTTAAATGACATTTTGAAATGCAACCTCACTTTTTCATTGCTTAGTCATAACATAAACTCTTAGTCTTACCAGCTTCTCAAAACAAAGCTATTTACTGCTTTTTATAAAGAAATACAATTAATATTATGCAGAATTGAGTTAAGCATTTTGGCCCAGCTGTCCACAATATTTTCTGTTTCTCATGTGGCCCCATGGAAAAAAATAATTGCCCACCCTTGGTTTAATGTGATCATACAATATTGATATCATGGGCTGTTGTATCAATATATCACCAAGAGCAGCTTTTGGTGTATTTTACTAAATAATTTTGTTACAGCGCTACAGTTTTGTTGCTTGTTTAGAGGAAGGAAACTCTTTTATGCAACACATTTGACATTTTCACTAGTAAAATGGGCTTTTTTTGTATTAAATTTGCAGAAGAAGTGGTTTAACAATGACTATTTAGACTATTTTGTCGTTTTGAAAATATATTGTATCGAATCGAAAGCTCACTGTATCAAGATATGTATCGTATCGTGGCCTATGTATCGAAGTATGTATCGTATCAGCAGCTTCTTATTGATACTCAGGCCTACTGTGGAATCTTCCTGGCAAAACAATAAAACTTTCATTAGGTTAGATATGAAGGTGACCATTCCTACATCAGAAAAGTTACATACAATAAGGCAAAACACTTTCAACATTTACGTGCTGTTCATGACTTACACCCTGAATTTGTAGCCTGCAGTATTATTGGGTGAAGTAACATATTTAGAGAATTTTGTCTCTATTGTTGTAACCCCTCGACTCATTGTCTCTCACACATTAAAATCTCCATCCCCTCTGTCAAAGGTTCGTCATAACCTCCATTGTTTCAGCTTCATTCAAAGGCAAACAATTTGTCTTTCTCATTCACAGTGTAATGTCTATTGTATTGTTGTGTGCGGTGTGGTTGTATGGGGGCCAAGCGATCGATGTCTGAGGGCCAAACAGACGCCTTTTTGTATGCAGATCCACTCATGCACATTTAGCATGCACACACAAATATGGCCACATGTAGCCAGCAGTCATATACACATACAACCGCCCACACACACCCTTGGAAGAAGCTACTCACACTTCGCCCCCATAAAGTACATGTCAGTCCATCTGGGATCATTAACACCATGTTAATGAATATAGGGCTGGGGCCAGGAGCTCGGAGGAGAGGGAGAGAGGAGCAGGATAATGGATTCTCTTCTAGCAAATGTACAGCCGCAGGTACTTTCTGGTTGGAACGCGGCACAGATGAGAAAACATGAAAAAAATGGTTGTAGACTAAACAGGATCACGAGGGACTAGAGGGCTAAGGATCAAGGCTGCAGAGGAGAGAATAGTCTAGAAGTTTATAGTGGATGAAACAGGCGGGGTATTTATCGCAATGTGGGGACTCAGATCTGTAAACACACTCACTCAACAGGGGACCTGCCTCTATGGGGATAAAATTAGATTCCCATGATGCAAATGCTAAATATTATTAACAGAAACAACATTTAAAGGTACAATAGGTAACTTTCCACGGTCATGGAAATCCTGGAAAAGTCATGAAAATTGAAAATGTCATTTTTCAGGTCTGGAAAAGTCATGGAAATTTGTGAATTCAATGAAAGTTTTGGAAAAGTCATCTCTTTCACGCAACTACATCGTTCTGTTAAGTTGTCATTAGGCTATTATGATTATCTCCGAACAGTTGTGCCTTTTGTTCTAAAGAGATGACAGTAAATGCACTGACAGAATTTTGAATGTTAAAAAACAATAATACTTAATCATAAAGTGAGTGGAAGCAGTCAACATTTCATATATAGCCCTAAAAATATGATCAATTCTACACATGTAGGGTGTTGTAAAGTCATGGAAAATTTACTTTAGATCATGAAAAAATTCATGGAAGAAGTTTTGAAATTTTGTCAGTGAAACAGTGTGTGTGTGTGTGCTGGAGAGTCCTTCATCTGCTTGGTGTCATTGAAATATCGTTGCTTTGGCTAAACTATTACACAATATGACATTAAACTCTTCCATGGAGACAAAAACGTGAAGCTACTATAGACCAAGTTACAGGTCAGATCTTGGGAGAAGAAAGCCCATTCACAGTAAGCATGTTTTAAAGGTATTTTTGAGCTATAAAAACACCTATGCGAGATAAATACGTTTAATGCCATACTGTGGAATAGTCAAGTCAAAGAAAAGGTAGATATAATGCAAAAAAGATTGATATAATGCACCTTTAAAGTTTAGAAATGTGTTAATAAAAGGTTTAGGTTAGAGTTTGGGTCAAAGGTGCACTACATAACTTTTTGGTTGGGGGTCCATCACCGTCTTGTTTCTATGGATATGCCACTGCTTTGCTCCAAATGTTCCATAATATGACATGAAACAGATTTATCAAGCATTTATTCAATTACAGGTGGTTTTTATGGCTCAAAAATACCTAAAAAAAAACACATTCTGACAGTGCCTTTCCAGAGATCTGACCAGTAACATGATCTGGTTTGGCCTCATTTTGATAGAAAGGTGCAATGTCATGCCAAACATTTCAGACAAAGCAATAACATCTCCAATATGTAATAGGCAATATGTTTTAGGTTAGCGGCAGTCTCCAGGAACTGTAATGTCCGCCAAAAGCATGGAAAGTCTACATTGGTGTGCGTGTGTGTGTGTGTCTGTCTGCAGGGTGAGGAGGACTCTGTGGAAATAAGTGAACAGATGAAGGAGAAGAAAAGGGACAGAGAGACAGCCGAGACAACAGCTGAGGCGAGAGAGGAGGCCGAGGCAGAGACACCGCAGAACAAATGAGCGAGCTGTGAGCAGAGTGGGGCGGGTAAATATTTCACTGGGGTCTTTTGTTTTTTGTAGTTCACTCAAAGGCGGACGCAGCACCCCAGACAGGATGGATAACAGAAGTGTGCCCATTGATATCCCAGTTAATGATTAGATGAGCTCAATACTGCTGTTACTAAAGGGGAGGAGCCAATTCATTTACCCCCCACTGTCCTGCTACAAACTTTGGTCCGAGGTTTGTATTGTATTCTTCAGTCTGTATGCGCTTATGTATTACTTTTGGGTATTCCACCAAGTCACTCTACAGGTGGTAACTTTCCAGTGGACGCTCCTAGACAAAACAATAGCATAAGGACTAAGGAGTGGAAGTCATAGCATAAAATAGAATGAAATGAGATACTCGTTGATAGTAACTCTATTATTATTAAAACTAGATACTCATTTAAGCAAGTGCTGAAACAAAAAATCACATAAATTGGACACAACTTTTCCTTTACCTAAGCAGTTTTAGTATGATCTTTAACTTCATGAGAGCAAGACCACATTTTTACATAAAGAAAGTACTATTGTTTTGGGCAAAAAATTACAGTATGTGGCCTAAAAAAGAGAAATTTGTGTTATAATAGTGGTATCAAAATCATTATAAAGCCTTTTCCTATGAAAACACATAAAACTTTTCCTCACCTAAGCAGTCTTAGAATGATCTTTAACTTTATGAGCATAGGACCACATAGTAACATAAAGAAAGTACTATTGTTTTGGCTTAAAAATTACAGTATGTGGCCTAAAAAAGAACAATTTGTATTATCATAGTGGTATCAAAATCATTATCAAGCCTTTTCCTATGAACCACATTATGACTTATTACTAGGTTTTGCACTGTCTTATCTTCATGGAGATAAATAAGATTAATGCCATGCTGTGGTGCATTCCAAGGAAAACAATCAATATCTCTTCAGGGAGACAAGCAGGTGACAGACTGCAACTGTCCATAGTGCGTCTTTAAGCCATTGCATACAAGGGTTGACAAAAGTATAGAAATTTGAATTTATCTGTTTGGAGGATAAGCCCCTTGAGCTGTTTCGTCATCTCGTTTTCAAGGTAGTCCTCGTAGTTACAGCAAAAGGCAGATAGAGTAGGCTACAGAAATTCAAATGAAACATCAAAACAACAAAATCAACACAACCATACACACTCACTCACACACACTTAACTGTTAGACACATAATAAATCAAATCTGAGCAAAAACTAAGACAGAGTTCAAATATAGACACAAAATACAACAAGATGAACAACAAAATGATCAAAAATAATTACACGAAATGAGATACTACTTTTAGAATGATACTAGTTTTAGAATGATCTTTAACTTTATGTTGTTCTGGGCTAAAAATTACAGTGTGTTGTGTAAAAAAAGAGCAATTTGGATTATCATAGTGGTATCAAAATCATTATCAAGCCTTTTCCTTGGTATCAAATTCAAGTTTGAAGTACAGTAGATACAAAGAAACATAGATACAAACACAGAAAAAATGTTTCAAGTTTTACAGCGAAGATTCAAATCCATAGAGCAACAAAAGGTACAAAAAGGTGCAGTATTAAAAACAGAGTAACTACCCATTGCAGCCAAAACTCGGTGCCTAGCAACCGTAAAAAAATAAATAAAAAATTCTTACTATCGTAGCAGCGCTATTACAGGAGTAGTTGACCCCCTGCTGGGTCTAAATCCAGACACATGGTGCGCTGGTTAACAGAAGTGTGCCCGGACCACCTGTATGCAGATGACTGGGGGGGTGTATAGTCTTCCCTTTGTGCTTTGGGAGAAGGAGCAGCTTGTTGGAGTGTGCTGCTATGAGCCACGGGGGAGCCAGGGAGGGGCCACAAACGGGCCCCCAGAGCAGGGACAGAGGGCAGGAGGGTGACAAGCTGCCCATGTGCACGCCAAACAATGCCAAGTGTTAACAAGCCTAAAGCCACTCTTAATGACAGAGGTTAGCTGAACAAAGAGACACTATTTGAGATGCGGCCTATGATTATCTAGAGTCGATGTGGAGCATATTATGGTGATTAAGCCCATTCAAGCTCATTTATTCCCTGTTCGGGGGATCATAATGCAGGTTTCCATATGACCGTGTTTTTCCAATGCCAGGCAAAGGTTATCCACAGATGAGCGGCAGGGGACCAACTCAAACAACATCTGCAGAAGAGACAGAGGCTTGAAGGCAAGACAACTGTGAAATGAAATGTGAAAAATGAAATTAGATCAACGAGCCAATGTCCTGCTAACACCACATATAGCTTCGGTGTAAATAGAGTACAATGTTATTTAAAGGTGAACTACATAACTTTTCATCAGTTCATCACCTGCTTATATGTTTTTCACATTTCATTTCACAGTTGTCCAGCCTTCAAGTCTCTGTCTCTTTGCAGATGTTGTTTGAGTTGGTCCCCTGCCTGGAATGTTCCACAGTATGGCGCTAAATGTGTTTATCTCCATGGAGACAAGCAGGTGGCTCCAGAAAGCAAAGTTACAGTACTGGTTAAGTCTATGGAGAGGCAGCATAGCCATGTTTCCAAGTATTTTTCAACAATCAACACAACTTTAATTGAATGAATGCAAGCTACATATGTTCAATAGTAGATTGTCACAGTAGTAAAATTGCGGTACCTGTACTTTACTTAAGTACAAAAAAGTTAAATCAATACAAGTTTTATTGGATCTCAAAATCTCTGAAAAATACTTTTACTCTTTACTCTTTAAGAACATCGTTAAACAGGTACTTTAATAATTTACTTAAGTAGATATTGTTCATTTGTTACTTTTACTTGTAATTTTTTTTTTTTTTTTTTGCTGTATCTTACTTAAGTAACAAAATCAGGTACTTCTTCCACCACTGGATATGTTTAATTAGACAGGCTGGCACCACCTAGTTCCTCCGCTCAATTTCATTTCTCTCCAGCGACTAGGTCAGGAATGGTCAGACGGTTTGCAAGAACCCCGGAAGTTGTGGACTACACACCAGCCAATCAGCAAAGAGCTAAATCAACCCGAGTTGCGATAACAGACTCCATAGTTTATCCTCCTTTGAACTTCCTTTTCCAAATAAAAAGTTTGTATTTTTTATTGCACCTTTAATTCCAAGTTCACCTCGCAGAAACGACAATGATCATTGACAGACATGTTCCCTCTCTGCTTTGTTTGCTGTTGTGCCGGCATTTATTTGGGACAACACTGAGCATTACATACATCACGACCAAATGGCAGCAATTGGTTAAATAAAAAAGTACCCACCTACCGTCAAGCAAACGAATCCTAATGCAGTGAGGTCAGACGGTTTCCACGAAGTGAAACCGGCTGATGAATCACGCAAATGTTTAATGCCATACTGTGGAACACTGTAGGTGAAACAGTAACATCTGCATGGATACAAGCAGATAGCAAACCCTCCTCTACAAACTGTACCTTCAAGCCATTTGTTAGAAAAAACACGTTTGATGAATCACCCTGCAAAGATTCACTCCATCTTTTTTTCAAATATTTCCATTAATCCTCTGCAAATTTCTGCTACTAGTTTGCTTTAGAAATCTACCACCAGGCAGCCTTGACTTTCGATCGTCAGTGTGAGAGGAGAAGAAATATTAAATCCTAAACATTTCAAAACATGTCTGAATCTATTCAAAGCGTACAGTACATTCTATACCCTTTGACCCAACACACATATTTTTCCATAATTATTCATTCTTTAAGGGTCACAATAGTGCATCCTATATATTTTACGCATTGATTTGCAAATGGATTCAGCTAAAGCATTTCCTTATGCTAACGGTTGTGTGTAAGAAAACTTGCAGAGAGCGCAGACTCAATCTCTGACTACTACGGCGCAGTCAAAACATTAAAATGGCTGTCCTCTCAAGGCAATTTGCATCTTAATAATACAAAATACCTTGCAGCTATTTACACTCAGACCATAACAACAAAAGTGTTTTCTTTAGTTGATGAATTGTTGCTTGATATTATGTAAGTGAGCTTTTGGATGCATGTGGCGACAGATAGCACAACACCTGGAGACTGTTCCTTGAAAAATAAACAAGTGGATTCTGTACTGGTGCTGCTCTCAGACCATCCCACGGCTTCCTTTAACTCAGTCTGTCAGGAAAAATCTTTCAATAGGCACAGATTGTTAAAGGGTCATTATGTAACTTTTCTTGTGGAGGTTTTGACACCTTCTTGTTTTCATAAGCATTTAATTGCTTCGCCTGGAATGTTCGGTATTAAACTAATGAGGCATGCAACAACGTCACCAGACGAAGATACTGATCATACTTTATCTGTGGAGGAGCCGTCCCATTCACAGCAAGAATACAGGTATTTAAAACACACAGAAAAAATGTGGAAGTCTGTCATCTGCTTTTCTCCATGGACATGTTATTGCCGTGTCTGAGATGTTTCACAGTATGGCATTAAACCTTTTTATCAACTTGGAGACCAGACCAGGCCAAGCTACTGGTCCCATCAGTGGAGATAGTGGTATAGTGGGGATTTTTTAAGTGGGAGTACACGAATTTCTGACTTCATGGATGTGATGAATTCTGCCCACCTATCTATCTAAAAAAATCAGTACAAACATAAAGGTGCCAGCCCACTAAAAATCTGTAATATTTGATGTGGTTTTTTTTACTCAAAACAATGCAGAATCATGTTATTAACATTAACGTTGTCCATAATCACCTACAGAACATAAATCATAGGCTACAACACATGAACCAGGACTAAAACAGGACTAAAGCAGATCTAAACCAGGACTAAACCAAGTCTAAACCAGGACTAAACCAAGTCTAAAACCAGGACTAAACCAGTCTAAAACAGGACTAAACCAGGACTACACCAGGACTAAACCAGGTCTAAACCAGGACTAAACCAGATCTAAATCAAGTCTAAATCAGGACTAATCTTGGGCTTGAGAGCAAGAGAGCCTGTGGAGCAGGGTGTCCGCAAAGCACGATTGGATGACGGCTGAGCTTATCCCTGTGGGGTGCGGAGCTCTGCACAAGTCTTTTCGCCTTTTGTCACCCGACGGTCTACGCGGGCACACCTCCAGGCCTGTCCAGATTAGCCCTGGTTTAGTCCTGTTTTAGTCTTGTTTTAGTCCTGTTTTAATCCTGTTTTAAGTCCTGTTTTCTTCCTGGTTAAGTCCTGGTTCAGTCCTGGTCCTTCATGTCACAGGTCACTATAGGACAGTACTGCAGATATCATGAGCCTATGCAGGTTGTTTTCACCATTGCCAATAGCTCTGGTTTGACATTTAAATTGTAGCTATTTTATATTTGTTATTTTTCTATATTTCACATCGGGAGAAGTGAGTGAACAGCGTCCCCGCTTGTACCACACCCACTACACTCCTGAGTGGAGAGACAACCTAGCTCACTGTCAAAAGGCCTTTTTTCTAGCTATTTTTGAGCTATAAAACCACCTGCAATTGAATAAATGTAAAATAGAGGTGTTTAATGTAATACTGTGTAACATTCAAAACAGAGCAGTGACATATTCATAGAAACAAGCAGGTGAGGGACTCCCAAACAAAAAGTTACATAGTTTACCTTTAACTGAATCAGTCCAGCCAAGTCCAAATCTTCTTCTTTTTAAAGCCACACATTGTTAAGGCCTGTGTCCTGCTCCATTGTCCGTCACGGAAAAGAAGAACATTTCTATTCTGATTTTGTTAGAGCTGTCATATTCATGCATGTTTGCTGGCTTGTTTGTGTACATGCAGAGGGTACAGTCGTGGGCATGTTTCTTGGGAGATCACAGCCATCTGACTGTTGCCACGGCGCGGGGGTGAAGAGGAGGTGTGGGTTGTGAAATGCTAAATTGGTCTTTGTGTCTAGTGTGCTGGGATACTGTGTGTTGGATGCGATGTATCATGAGGAGATCCCATGTTTGAGCCTCGGAAGTTGGCTGGCACAGCGGGACAGTCCTCCTACAGACCAGGGCTTTCCTGGTGCCCAAGTCTGATCCCGTGAATCACTGGAGAGCGCTGACACCCATGCAGCATAAACAACATGTTGACTTTAATTAAATGTATGAAGTTTTACTATCTAAATATATTTTAATGATTAATGATTTAATGACAGTACACATTTTAAAGGTGTATGTAACTTTTCCGACGTCAACTGCTTGTCCCCATAGCGATGTTATTGCTTTGTCCGGAATGTTCCACATAACGAAATTAAACTGGTCCCTCTTGCCTCTTCTCAGTTACATGTGCTTTTTATGATGCAAAAATATCTGGAAGAATATGCGTGATAATTAGTAAGTCATGTTGTTTCTCCACAGATCTGACCTGTTTCTTGACCTGGTGGCACGTGCCTCTTCAAATGGAGATAGACACATTTAATGCCATACCATGGAACATTCTACCAATCATAGGGGTTATCCAAGTCTCACGATACGGTATTGTCACAGTATGAATCTCACAGTACAATAATTATTGCAGTATCATGGGAAAGCTTACGATTAGGGATGTAACGATATCCAAATCTCTCGGTACGATATTTTCACGATATACATCTCACAGTACGATATTTATTGTGATATTTTGTGGAGGCTAAATATCTAAAACTGTTGATATGCTACTTTTTCCTCTTAAAATGCCTTTACAAGACTTAATCCAAAGAACTAAGACTTTAAACTGCTTAGAACAGTTATTTCTTCTTGTAATCTACACTGAAATGGAGCAAAGGATCATGGTCTATGTAGTTCCCTCTGTTTTTTTTTTTTTTTTAAATCTATTGCTGCACCATAACTCTTAATTTAAGCAAAGAGACTTGTAATTCGATAAATTGTGATGGTCCACGATATTATTGTGAGAGCTTTGATGATACGATATCACGATATTTCGGTTATTGCTACATCCCTTATCAATCTATCAGTCAAACTTTATTGTATAGCTTTTTTCATACATTTGAAATGTAGCAAAGTGTTTTACATGAACAGAAAAATGACAATAATTAAAAAACAACAGCCGCCCCAACCCCACCCCATGTTTCATCCATATATACATCTGTTTAAACAGAAACATAAAACATAAAGCTCCTAAGGGTTATAGTAAAAAGAAAAAAATGGAGAGCTAAGTAAAATAATCATAATTTAATTTAAAACAAGTAAAAGTTTCAATTAATAGCTAAATTGAATTGTTTTTGGTTTTGAGTTTACTTTTACAAAAATGTTAGACAAAGCAATAACATCTCCAATAATTGCATGCAAAACAATTACCTATTATATTACATTTATTTCTATTTTCTTTTGATAAATACAAAGCAAGTTCTTAGTATTGTGAATAACGGTAAACCCATATTTACAGGTTACTAAACCTATAAAATATTTAATGTAACACTAAAATACTAAGCCAGGTTGTAAATTGATTAAAGTTTATTCTTTGTATCTTTGCATTCTTTGTGTATTCTTGCATCTTTGTGCTCGTCTTGGCCCCATAAAAAAGGAAGGTTTTCATCAAGAGGTCATTCAATATTAATGACCTCGTCAAATCAATATGTAAATGGAGACACAGGAGAAAGCAGATGTTTTACTGTTATTATCTGGAAGAGGAAAGCCCCCCAATATGCTACTTCCAGCTGACAAAAAAACACCCAAACAAAAGATTTAACATGAAACAGACCAGAATCTCAATTTGATCAGTTTAGGTGATCAAGAAAATACTTGTCCTAGAGTACAGACTGTAGTTAAAAAAAAAAAAAAAACATGGAAAGTTCTAGACCAAACTGACAGAGGGAGCAGGTGAGATTTAAAGAGGTGCAAATACAACAATGTTTCATAAAATATAATTATTATACATACAGTATCTGAAATGAGGGGGCGTAATTTCTTAGAAGCACAGAAATATATGCAAGTACATACAGTTACGTATAAGGCCAGGAAGGACAAACAACTCAGAACAGAGGTGAAAGGTGCTTGTCTAGATGTTGATTTGTTTTGAATGTTGATGTTGTTTTGTCATCAAGCTTTTCTGTTTTCATGGAGGCAAGCCCGCTCTGACTAAGAATGCTTGTTGGTCGAGGAAATAAAAACAACTGGAATTGAATGACAGATATGTTTTATGCAATACTGTGGGACATTCCGGGTAAAGCAATATAATCTGTGTGGATACTTGCAAGTGGCAGAAGTTACATAATGCATCTTTAACTCTGTCAGAAGGTGAGGAAGTGCATGTTTTTTTAGTTTGGCCAGCTTTGATTTGAGAAAACTCACACGTACTTTCCTGCTGAGTCCAACCCCAAATTCCCAATCCTATCAGACGCTCTATGCTCCGTAGTTCATCCGTCCTATCAGTAAGTCTGTCAATTGCATTTACCTGTCAGGGGACGCGACTTCATGGAGACCACCAGATGACTCCAGCTGATAACACAGCAATAACTCTTTACTGTCTGACAATAGCTAATCAGCAGAACAGCAAGCTCGGACAAAAACAGCTCATATTCATAGCACAAAATATGTAACCTAACCCCAAAAATGCACAAAAATATACACGCATTTTTGGCTGCATTAGTGCTTGAGTGGCGAACAACTATAGGCCAATACGCACAAGCCTACACATTGTGGTTTACCATAAATAAGTCTTGATACAAAGCAGTACAAGGAAATCTGACCCTAAGTCAACACTTTTCAGCTGAAATTATAGGACCTCAAAGTTGCAATTTAGTTGTGTTTATGTGGGTTTTCTATTTAATGTAGCTTGTGGTTTACTTTTCAAGAAAATATTGGGCATTTCAGCTCAAGATGAAAAACAACATTCCCAGTGTTATTTTTACCTTTTTCCATGAATAATTGTTATCTTATCTGTTAGGCTACACGTAGACCTATTTGATTTATAATGCTTATCACCGGTCTTAATATTGTTCCAGTTTGTGGGGAGCTGTTTTTTCACTGTCAGTGAAGTGCGAGTAGATGGTGTTTTGGCTCAGGATACGCAATGGGCGGAGGCTAAAGCGCTCTGGGGTTTGATTGGCTGATCAGCAGTGAGGGGGTGGTGCAGCTGCTCAACAAAACAGCCAGGACGCGCTCCGATAAGACAGAGACGAATTGCAACGGAGCGTAGACAACTTTATTACTCTGTGGAAAGAGGACACGAGTTGTGTTGTTTTCACAGAAAGTCAACTTCATTTTTTTTCCTGAATGGCCGTGTTATTGTGGAGAACGGGAAGTGGAGCTATGGATTTGGTGATATTTTTGACCCTGAGCATCGGAGCGTGGTTCGCATCAGCGGAGAGGCACAGCGTCTACTGGAACAGCTCAAACCCAAAGTTAGTACCTGTCTTTGTTTGTATCTTTTATAACTTAACAGCGTGTCTTTATGGAAATCACCTATAGTTGGTTTACTTTTACGCAATATGGCACTGACTTATGTATTACTTAAATTTCTTTCTGACTGTCACTGCTTTTGAGGAACCACGAGTGAGTCACGGCAATGAATACATGTGGCAATTTAACACAGGAGTTGTCAAGTTTATGTTAGACTACTCTGGTTTACCTATACTCGTCTGACTGGATTGTTACAGGCTGTGCGTAAAAGCGAAAGAACTTGACGCTGGCACATTTGTCTCTGGATATATTTAACACGGACATAGTAATAGTGCAGTACTTTAAAATAGACTGACATGTGGGTGCTTGACTCAACTTTATTATTAGTTTGCATTGCACATTTAAAACCAAGTTACTCCTGCGTTTATTACTGCTGTGTGCGTCCTGGTGGAAGAGGATGGTGCGTAATTTCGCTCCACAAAGAGAATCGCATATTGCTGATAATTGCGTTCAGGGTTTGGACGTGTAACTCTATATCCAGACCAGATTGGAGATCGATGGAGCTTGACAAACGCGTGATGTCTCCGAGAAATTTATTGGGCTCTTATCGCGCGAGATCCAGGCATAGAGAGGAGCAATGTTATGGTATAGTCGCTGAAACCAAATCAGCGCCGTCTGCTTTCTGTGCCCACATACAGACAGATTAATTTCTATCAATAAGGCGAAACGAGGGCGCGCTGTGTAGGTCTTCATGATTACTTTTCAGTGTCTAATTGCCCTTTTAACAATGACAATAGCGCAGTCGAAAACGAGCCGTTACACAGCCACAACAATTGACTCGCTAATTGGATAAAACAGTGTGAGCCTTGGCGTCACGCGGGGCTCAGGCTGTGTCATGGGTTAGTCCGTACGTGAGTCACCGGTACCGAGCCTTGAATTCACCTGAACTGCACGTTAGTCACGTACATGGGGGCGGAACCAGGTGCAGCAGTTGATCGATTTCCACTGTCTGTCTACTGGATCAGTCAAGATCAGTCCAAACACAAACTTTACAAAGCTGTTTTAAAGTCTATTGTCGGCTGTAATCTCGTCCCTAGATTCCTTTTGTTGCTGAATATGAATTGCGTAATCCGAGTAAGAAAGAAAATAATCCTTTGCAGCTACATATAGACATATAGACATTAACACAGAGTTTATAACATATGTGCTCCACCCAGTCTTACATTTTGAACTCTATAAGCTTCTCATTGTGGTAATATGGGCCAGAGGGATAATGACAGCCAAGGGCCACAGACAGGGCATTGTGTCTTGACCCACACATTCTTGTCAACTTTCTAATCTGATCTCTCCTATGATTCCAATCCAGTTTGCTCAACGTTACACATCCATCACAGTTACACGAGCTACATCATTGGGCTTTGACAGCAGCTGGCCGTGTATAATAGATGCTAATTGATCCACTGTGTAATTGGGAGCTGCAGTGATTTGTCTTGCATACAAGCCACTGGCCAGATGGTAGGAGCCTATTCAAGCTATCCGAAGGAGAGTATGGATCCTGTCTCTTTGCACAATGCGCACACTTCTTCGCTTGTGGTAATGATTATGCCAGTTAATCCCATCCCTCACGCAACTTTAATCTGATACTCGATATATGCATGACAGGTGTGAAGGCTTGTTGTGCTTAGCCAGGTGTTGTTATTACACTGCGTGCCTCATCTTGCGTCTTAGAAGAGTCGTTCATAACAGGAAGCTAAAGTTTTATTTTGGTTGTGGATTGAAAGTTATGTGCTAACCTTTCCACAACGTCAGAGAGTTCATTCGGGGAGTGGCCATTTACCGTAGACAGTGTGTTAGGTCTGTGACTCACGGTTCGCTTCACACTAGGGGGCAACAGGGAGGACTTTGGGGGTTAATATTAGCCCCACGGTCGTGCCAATTCCAGTTACTGTTACTATACTGGAGTTTCAGCTGCTTGTACCTGCCTGTCCAAAGACCCATCTCCACTATCTTAACAGCTGGAGCTATTCTTAGTTTTGGCATAGGGCCCTCTTTCTTTCATTGCCTCCTTGACATCTCCTCAGGCTTGCTATTCTTAACTTTATATCTGTTATATGTAATAATTTGGCTGCGTCCAATCCCACCGTACCTAGGTTGCTTATTTCCCCCGATCCTCGTATCTTTGCTGTAATGTAATATTCTGTTTATCAGCGTCTGGGTCTAGTGTGGTCTGGTCTAGTCTGGAGTTATTAAAGGAGGCGATGCTTGCCCCGACACGACAGTCCGGCCCGGAGCTATAAGTTTAGATGGCCAAAGTTACCCCCAACCCCCTCCTCCTTCTCTCCCCAGCCCCCTCCTCCCAAATACAATTCCAGTACTGGTCACGTCCCGTTGGCTTGTCCACCCTTTAATCTGTGCCACACACTAACATAGATTACTCAGACTATGCAATCTGACCATTTGATCCACAAACACAATTCACGATAGTTACGATGATGTAACTTCCATCTGTTTGCCTACCTGTTTAGACATTGCGTAATATAGCACTGGCTTATTCGATTTAAACCTGTTGATAAGTTCATAGAATCAATCTGAGTTCAGTATTGACCACAATGCAACTTTGGAAGGATCCTTGCGCTATCCACTCTCCGCTCTTCCCCTCTGCTCCTTATCTTTGCTCCAGACTTCCTCCAGTCCCTCCCCCAACTCCCTCTTTTTCTCTTTCTCTCACAAGCCCTCCACTGTTTTGCACTTGTATTTTTCCAACATGTTCTAGATAGCATTTCTTCACACCGATAGTGTTGTTGCAGTTGTACTATGAGTGGGTAAGCATGTTCATTCATGGCATTGCAGGCATACCTTGCTGTCTACTTGTGGCTCACTGCTGCCTCCTAAAGGGCAAAACATGACAACATTATAACATTATTTTTATCTAAACAATTTCACAAAAGTTGGAAGGACTGAACTTGTTTGAAGCTTCGAAAAGATCCCCGAACTACACAGCACAGTTTAACTTTAGCCGAACTCACAGAGCGTATTAAGCCATGCATGATACCATTTGGCCTTGTCCTATTCATGGCGCTAGAATGGAGGAAGGCGAAATAAAAGCCCGGTCTGAGAAAAGATTTTGGGGAGGAGGCAGATTGGAGGCCGGGGTGAAGGGTGAACCAGCGGAGAATGGGGATTTTGTGCGGAGAAATTAGCCTGGATGAAGCGGCCGGGTATATTATGTCCAAGTTAGGGGACGACGCAGAATGCAGCAGAGAAAGGGGAAAAGGGGGGATGGGTTAATTTGGTCGGAATAAAAGAAGAGGCAGACGAGAGGAGGAGAGAGTGGACAGTGATGGATAGAGGGAGGAGAGTCTAATAAGAAAGAAATGGAAATGCGGGCAATTAAGAAGCACTTGGCCTTATGGTACAAGTTTGGGCAGCATGAATAGCTGAATAGATACTACAGTGTTTGCGGTCCTTATCTGCTGAGGACTGAACCAAGACTTATAATTACCATGTGAATACCAAACTTGTTTATTGGAAGCTTTATGCAATTTTACTTGTTTAATATTCTGTTGTTTTTTTGTACCACCGACCTAATTGCTGGTCTAATACTGTAGATTGGATAAAGCAGAATATATCTAATAAACTATAATATTTGCAGCAAACCAAAACAAGATGAAAACCAGGACTAATCTCCATATCTTAGCGGAAAAACTAGATTCCAATCAGCGATACTTGGACCATAGTTTTAGAACTCCTGATAAGTGAAAGTGGAATAAATCAGAAATGAAGGAGCATTACTTACTGGTAGCTAATGCAAAGAGACGTTTCATTGTGTATCAGACTGGCTCTAATTTAATAGCAAACCGCTGAGCAGGCTAAACCCATTATAAGCCTGACAGCTCCTCAGCGTGTGTGAACGGAGGTGCGAATCTGCCATACCACAGCAAATGAATAGAGTATTAAGTACGCATACACCTCCAGATGAAAGTGCAACTGGAGTAGTGAAGAATTCGGGACCACAACATGCCTGCTTACTCAGAAGTGTTCCCTACTAGACATGTCATGCTAATTACTATATCAACTTCAGTATATGAAAGCTGCAACTACCGTGTATATTTTGGGATTCAGTGATTATCATGTCATGCCTACATTTTCTTTGCATTAGTGGAGAGATAAGAGATTGGAGAGAAGTAAATCGTGAGTTCTGTCATTGGATTATCCTGCTTTAATGTTACTGTGTGGGCATAAAGTAGTTTCAGTATGAACGTTTATTATTCTATTTATCTAGTTTCAAAATCAGCTATCATGACAAGCCCATTCACTGCCGTTACCTGCGTCTGTTTGGAGTGGCCAAAATCTTCAGCGCCGACTCAGAAATCACCATGTGTGAAAAGTCGTGACCCTGGTTTTTGGCTCTTTTGACCCGGTGTGCAGTAGAGGGGCTCCCTGTAGAGATGAGTGAAGGGGAGCGAGGTCGGAGTCAGTTGTTGGGGTCGTACCAGGGAGAGCTCTGGGGACAACTGGAGCGGCGGAGGGCCCAAGTGGTCGGCTCCAGCTGGGGGTCCGGACGCAGGGTCGTTCATCATCAAGCAGCCTAATGAAGAAGTGAGAAAGGAGGTTATGACAGCGGCCATTGATCATTTTCAATAGGAAATACTAAATTAGGTCCTCATTGTGAAGAAGTGCCAGCTAATTTGTGCTTGGATACGCAGTAACATGAAATCCATACTCTATTTTATATTGAATTATCTTGAATAGTTTCCTCAGATGCTATTCTAAACTAAAATTAATATAGAAACCAACAAATGCATTTGAAGTACTGATATTCAGATACATATGACTATTCTTAAGGTTGAGTTTCCTTGTCCTGTATGCACATCAACTAATTTTAGAAATATCGTGATATCATATCATCAAAGTTCTCACAATAATATCGTGGACCATCACAATATATTGAATTACAAGTGTCTTGGCTTAAATTAATAGTTATGGTGCAGCAATAGCTAAAAAAAAGACAGAGGGAACTACATAAACCATGATTCTTTGCTCCATTTCAATGCAGACTACAAGAAGAAATAACAGTTCTACGCAATTTTAAGTCTTCGTTCTTTGGATTAAGTTTTGTCAAGGCATTTTAAAAGGAAAAAGTAACATATTCACAGTTTTGTTTGTAAGCCTCCACAAAATATCGCAATAAATATCATACCGTGAGATGTATATTGTGAAAATATCGTACCGAGAGATTTGGATATTGTTACATCCCTAATCATGAGCCTCCCCACCATGTCGTGAGTTTTCCCACGATATTGCAATAAATATCGTACCGTAAGGTTCATACCGTGACAATATCATATGGTGAGACTTGGATATCGTTACACCCCTAGTATGTTACAATTTAATGCTAGAATTTTAAACCAAAAACTACCCTTAAGTATCAAGACACAATTAAACTCATAACATAACATAACAAAGAATACTTATATCTAAATTAAACAATTATTTTCTCAAAGTAGTTGGAGTATATGAGTTGTTTTCACTTGGTTTGGCACCTTTTCTGTCAGATATTTGGATAAGAGTGGCATTCCTAACCAAACCACAGCAGCGTGAATCCTAAATTACTTTTGGTGGGGGCTCTTTCCCTCAACATAAATTATTATTGCAGGCCTTGGGGGACCACACGGCGCGAAGGAGGAGGGAGAGACAATAGCCTGACAATAGCCGGACTTCAAAGCTGAGGGTGATAGGATACTCACCTCCTGTCATAACATCACTTGTGCTTGCTCTTTCTCCCTGGCTCGGCTGCTGACGCACACAAGTTACGTTCGCTGGCACATGAAAAGTGACCTGGTTGTGAGCGAAAGAGGTGCTACAATCACCTTCAACCCTGCATGTTTGCGCACTTATCGGCACGCTAACTCACTCAGGGCTCCGAGAGGGCTCCCAAAACAGATGTGCTTATATGCGCTCGAGGCTAGAGTCGTCCTCAATAGGGGTCTACAGAGAACGTCTCTCCGGCGCTCGGGCGAAGGAGGAGAGACTGAAGTAGGTTTGTGAACAACGCTCCAACACCTGGCGCTAGCTCACACACAGATATCATGTCAGTGCGACTCTCACCGGGCTGAGAACTGTCAGAGGAGGGTCTCAAATGGTGGGCTTTTGATGAGATGCAACTGAAGGGGGGTTTATAGATGCAAGAAGGACTGTGAATTGTGCTATATTTTCCGAAAGTGTAAGCTTTGATCAGATGCACTGGATAGATTTGTTGATGCATATATGGTAACAAATCAGGCTATATGCAGAAAAGTTTAAAAACGTTCTGATACCTTTTGGATTTGGAGCTTACCCGGACAGTTATAGGATATTTTTTAAAGCAAATAGGGTTGGATCTTAATCGATAAGAATATGAACTTGTAGCTGTAGGCTATCCTAAAATCCAATTAAACTAAAAAAAAACACTCTTATTGTTGACTTAAAGTGCATCCGAAATGTGTTTTGCAAAGGTTTAAAACAAGACAAAGAGACAGACTGTAGCCTAAATAAGCTCAGAAAGGACAAAACCAGATCTTGCATTGATTCGCTTCTCTGCATGGGGTTTGTGGGCGCATAAAGATAACAGTAATTGAATGATAAACAAATAAAGCTAAATGCTAATACGCACAGAACTCAAGTGCACTCAGCGGGGGCCCTGTATCTTAGTGTTAGTTAGTGAACGCTCCGCAGGGGGTAAGGTAGCAGAGGTACAAGGGGCCTATAGCCTCCGGTCATTCTTTTTTTAGGGAGGGAAAGAGTATAATTACACCCTGTTCACTCCTCCCTCCTCCCTTGCTTTTTTTCGAGAACACTTTAGCTCAGACCCCTAACCGCTTTTAATTAGCTGGGCCATTGCGAAAGGAGGAGGGGAATCGGGCGGAAGGTAGGATGGATAAAAGGAGAGTTTTCTCAAAAGCACTGACTATGAGCTATGAATGAAATTAGCAACAGAATTCAGCCTTTTTGTTGCCTTTTTGACAAGTGGGTTTTCATTTCGCAAGGAGGTCAGGGAGGACAGTGGCAAGGGCGCGGAAAGGGAGGAGAAGCGTAATACAAGCGCAAATGTTCTTGAAAAAACACTCGAGAGCTCACGTTTTGACACTAAATGCAACTATTATGACAGGGACATGATTAGAGAGGAGAGGGGTTCGGGCTAATTAAGACTCTACCAGTGTATTCAATTGCAACAATAACCTGAAATCTCAAAAAATGGGAATAAAAACGTGATTTGAAAGTATAATTAGGTAATTATCTTATCAATACTTTTGTAGATTTGGAATAGTCCCTAGCCATTAGAATAAGCATAAGAATAATATTGTTTTCTCTTCATTTCAAGTATTTTTGTTATTTTAGGTACAAGATTATGGTGGCATTTGGTAGATTATGACTCAAATCAAGCTCAAATCAAGTACTTTTGTAACTTGAATTTTATTTTTAGCAATGACTTACCTATTAGTAACACACAAGTACAGAGCAGGTTTTAGCACAAAGCATGTTTTGACAGGTCGGTTAGCGGCGTTAACTAGTGCAAGAGGGAGAGGAGGGTGAGAGGGGACGGGGGACACGGTGTCGTGGAGCCTCGGTGTCTGCAGCCGAAGCACATGGGGTCCACGCAGGAGTCACAACAACAGGAGGGGGGCTGCGAACACGCACTTTGATCCCCACCACGCTCACGTAAACAACTGCAGACGCGCTGGAGCTCTTGTCACTTTCGCCCCTCGCACACGTCCGGGCCAGTTAAAACACAGATTGAGTTGCTGGATTAGACCCTTGTTGCTCCTAAGGGTGTAATCAGAGCACTTCGTATATATCAATCTTTCTTCACCTCCGGGCGCTTGGCTGAGTCGGCCAGCGCTGCCTGCACTCATCGCTAACCTGCACGGAGAGAACGTGCCAGAAGTATTGTCATGGTGCTCAAGATTCAAGCTTGATGTTAATGTGAAGGGAAAAGGTTGAAACTCAATATGGATTTTGATACCACACTGGAAAAAAGTCTATTTTTAATGGGAACACGCCAAGATGCAGTAAGACACATGTACTAGTCCTATACAATCAAGTATTTTACGTTCTCTGTATCATAATAACAGATAAAAGTTGTCTTATTTCATCTTAAAAACAGAATTATAATTGTTGATTCTGAAAAAGACCAAGTTTGTTCATAGTATTAATACATGTTCAAATGAGTATCTAGTTTTTTTCTTACTGGGAGTAGATTTTTTTGTCAAATACATAAAAAGTTATAACAATCTTTCTTGTCACTACTTGGAATGGTTACATCCCAACTTGAAATTGTATCTTTGTCTCCACCAAAAGCGCTGTTCTTGTGTTTTGACCATTCTGAAAAAGACCAAGTTTGTTCATAGTATCAATACATGGTCAAATGAGTATCTAGTTTTGTTACTTGTCAAAAAATAGCTACTGGGAATTGACTTTCTTTGACAAATAAACAAAACTTTATAACTATTCTTCTCCTCTCTATTTGAAATGGTTACATCCCAACCTCAAATTGTATCTTTGTCTCGACCAAAAGCACTGTTCTTATGTTTTTAACGTGGCACCGAGTGTTTGAGAAATAAGAGACGCTCAAAGCAAGCAGTAAAATGAATTGAAAGGTAAACATGAAAGTCTTAGAAGTTTTGAGTCTGTGTCTACCCAGTCTGTCTTTGATGGCCACAGTGGGAGACGAGACAGAGAGGCGAAATTAGCAGAAGAAGGCGCACACACACCCCGATATAAAAATAGTTAAACTGTCATAGGAGTTCTGAGCTGATTTGTAGAGACTGGGCTGCGGGCCAAATAACAGAAAAGGCGTGTACAGTACTGTGTGTAGCATGATAGACGCTTTTTTACGAGACTTTAGAGGGATTGACAAAAGCAGAATATACCAGTTGGTCCTGATCAGGTGCTTTGTAAATGTGTCACAGTCGTGGAAACAAACAAGTTCACGTGTTAGCCGGCAATTACAACACAAGCTGTACTGTCAAAACACGCGTCGACATCGGAGTTGTATAGGCGTGTTGTTTACAAATCTGACTGTACAGAGAAAGGACGGGCACTCGTGACAAACAGTATATCTTGTTTTGTTTTTTTCAAGAATCACGGCGACAATCGGACAGTGTTTTCGCACTCGGAAATGTGTCTAAACAACTATGGTATATTTAATAATGTGAGTTTGTGGATACATGGAAGGCAAAAACAAAAAATAGTGTGGTCTTGAGTAAGTTTATACATTTTTACTTTTAAATTCACAATTCACAACCAAATATTCTCTCATTTGAAAGGTCAAAAGTCCTCAAAATGTGAAAATGAGTGGTTTCCTCAAAAGCAGTTGACAGTAGTTATATATCTCTAATTTCTATCTTTTGCTTGTTTTCGTATTTTAACTATCTAGGCCTATTCTCTTAATTATCATCTTACAACATGCTTTGTCGCCCACCTCCGTTATATTGTGCAATATGTGACTAACCCTCCTCCCTTCCTGTATCTCTGCAGCTTCCTTTGGGATGAATATACAGTGGAAGTGCGCATTAATGACTACCTGGACATCATCTGCCCCCACTACGCCCATGGGGAGGTGTCATCGCACGCCGCTGAACGGTACGTGCTGTACATGGTGGAGAAGGAGGACTACGACGTGTGCAAGCCCCACTCTTTCGACCAGCTGCGGTGGGAGTGCTCGCGCCCGTTCGCTCCGCACGCGCCGGAGAAATTCTCTGAAAAGTTCCAACGTTTCACCCCTTTCACGTTGGGCAAGGAGTTCCGGCAAGGAGAGAGCTACTATTATATCTGTAAGTATTGTTTTTGACATGTAAAAGATGTAACGTTTCCGGTGGAGGGTCTGTACTTATGGAATTATCTTTATGGAAACACGCAGCTCTGTCAGACTCTCTACCCGAAATGTTACATAACTCCACTTTTAGAACAACTGTGACATTTTGCGAGCCTGGACTAAAATCGATTCCTTGTCTATTCTTTTCTTCAGCTAAACCAATGCATCACCATGGGGAGGAGTGTCTGAGGCTACGGGTGGATGTGGCCGGAAATAAAGGGAAAGTACATCAGGACAAACCCAACGCAGACGAGAAGAACTTTGATTTGGGAAAGATCAAGTTTCCGTCAGCGGGAGGAGTCCACAACCCGTCCAACAGGCTCCCAGCAGGTGAGGATTCCACTTCTAATGATGTTGACAAATGATGTTAAACACCTCTAAAAGGTCATCAATAGGGCAGCAAGTGAAATTATAATTGTAATGACCATAATGACCATGATTATGTGCCATTAAAGTTTCAAGTCTTCTACAAACAACAAAAATACACTTTCATTGGCAGTCACACTTTTAAATACTGCTCATTGTATTGCTTAAAACATAACTATATTGTTGAAAATGATGCTTAATTATAGTATATGTGACATTTATATAATAGATGAGTAACCCTGTAGGCCTGACATGTTAAAAAATGCTAGTTTAGACCTTTAAAAAGTGTTTCTGTGGTTCAAATTACAAAATATCAAAGCTCCTGGACATGAACTCAATCATGATTTGAAAAAAATGACAAATATATTACTACAATTAGATATTATCCACTAACTTTCAGCCCTAATTGACTAAAAATGTAGTATTTAGTAATGTAATCTTTGAGTTGTTTGAATTAAAAAACTAAATCTCTTGTTTTCTTTCTCTCCTTTTCAGACGATCCTGATGTGATGGAGCCCAATGTCCAGAGGAGTATTGGCAGCTCAGCGTCCCAGCTAGCGTCTTTATCAATCCTCTTCACTATAGCTCCTGTCTTATTAGCGCTATGGCTACAATAAGACTAAATGGACTATAACAAAGACTTTACAAACCCGCTGCTGGTCACTGGGACTATGAAGACAGATTTTTATACAGATTTTTATATGAATGAAGCGTGTGTGTGACGTGGTTGGGCGAATGTGGGATGTCGATCATTCCAAAGAAGAAAAAAACCTTGAAGATGTGTTTTCTTTTTTGTTTTTTTACGATGTTTGGACAACAACGCACATGTTTTATTTAGTTTTTTTTTTTTTTCAATGAACAAAACTGCAACAACAAAATTATGTCACTGGTACATATGCACTGTATTTGTCATTCTATGTATTCATATGTCAAAGTGGTAGCTGTTGTCATAGTAGTCGTGTAGCACTCCGCTCCCAAATATATTTTCATTCACATTATTTTACAAAACAACAGTATTTATTTTATTTCATGTTTTTTTTTCTTTTCCAATTTACTCCACGTCTAACAAGCTAATTTGGGAGTCGGTATCCATCCACATATGCCTCATTTCTATTGTGTCGACATTATCATCATGGTACTTGCACACTATTTTTAAGGGACTACTTCCTGAAAACACTAACATTGGACGCTGTGGTTTTGTTTTCTCATTTTATCAAAGTTTTGTAAATGTTTATAATGTAAATTTGTACATAGTATAATATAAGAAAGTGTTTTAAAATGTGAAAATCTTTAGTGAAATAAAACTAATGTGATGTTAAGATTTGGTCGTGTTTATCTTTGACACTATTGACAATATTAAGAGGAGTGGGTGATAATGATTAAAAAAATATCTAAATATCTAATATATTTTTGGAATCCATCTAAAAGGTGTTTGTAAATGTTCTAGTTAGGGCTGAAGTAAGGATTAAGATTATTTGGTCAGTCAATTTAGGAAATTTTCAGAAGCAAATAGTCTATTCTTCAAAGAAATAAACCTAAATGTAATATATACAAACTCAATGAAGCACATTGCTGGTCACATGCTGCTATATAAATAAACTACACTTGATATAAATTTAAAATAAACTTAACTTTTTCCATCTGACTTAAAGATAATCCTAATTTATAGCTTCCTCTGAATGGTGAATAACCCAAACAAAAACATGCACAAAAAAGTATTGAAAATCAGATAAAGAATCGAGACTAGATATTCATTTGAGCAAGTATCAATACTAAAAAAAGTCACATTCACAGGACAGAACCATGAATCTTTCCTGAATAGCTACAGAATGACCTTAAGGTGAATCAGAACAAGTATAAGAGCACAAAGACTAGTATACGCCCATGAACCAAAGTGGAACCTTCCTCGGCATCTGAAGGATTACACCAGGGGTCTCCAACCTGTAGCTCGGAAGCTTAAAGTAGCTCTCCATCTTTTTACAAGGAGCTCATCAAAGGATTTCTGAATTATACATATTATACTGAATACTCAAATGTGATTAATTACCACAGTAAATGTGTTATGTTGAACTTTGTGCTCTAATAAATGGATAATGGTTTAATGTTTTAACTGTACACCAGGCTTGCCCTCTTATATCAAATCAATTTCCTATGGCCACTAAAACGGGGAACTCTCCGGCATTTTCATATTGTAAAAGTATCTCACCGGACCCAAAAGGCTGGAGATCCCTGGATTACACAGCTATAAGACCACAGGGTAAACTAAAAGAAAGTGCTAAAGAAGAAAGTCATTCTGTTGTCTAAATAAAGAGTGTTTTTTTTAATTATCATCGTGGTATCGGAATCGGTATTTTCTGAGTCTATTCCTTGGTATCTAAATTTGTTTTAGTGTCATGATAATGTTGGTAGTCCTGGCTAAACTGAGCTCAAGATCTGGAGGTGGGTCCATGGGTGACTTTGGACAGGCTGCCCCAGCTCAGCAGAGAAGAATGGGTCAAATGCATTGGACAAATTTACCTCAAAAATGTGGTTTTGGTGGTCAGTGTTATCTTTTAAACTTACTGCATTATTCTTAATTTTATTATGTTGTAATATATCTCTCAATACCAGGCTGAAATTTCACTACAAATCACCTCCTGCCAAACTCCAATTTGTTCTCTCCTTCGCCCCTTCTACCTTTCATCCCCAGTTACACATGGGCCCTGGCTTGGATTTCACAGTCAGAAGACCAAACACAGAGACGAGAGAGGGGCCAGAGGAGCAGAGACGTAGCCCCCCTCTCAAACTGTCGCCTGGGTGTGAATGTGTCACTCTCGCCCTGCTCACATTTTGGGTCTTTTCCAGGACTATAAAGTACTAAATACTCACGTTGCTGTAATTGAGTAGAGATTTTGGGTAATTGTACTTTTTGGAGTAAACCTGTACTTGCACCTGTAGTAAAATTCTAACCATATGATTGTACTTTGTTATATTTTAAAATCAGAGGAGTTGGATTGTATACTGATTGCAGCACAAATTCCAATGCACAGCTCTCTGCTCCTTTTCTACACATAATACTAATGTCGTAGTACTTGAGACTGGTCTTGGTCTTGAAACTGGCCTCGGAGCATTTTTTAACGGTCTTGGTCATATCTCGGACTTGGTCTTGTCTCTGTCTCGAGGTCTGACACTCGACGAGAGATAAAATGTAGATAGATTTAGAAAACATTGATATATGTGTGCCAAAATAAATGTAAAATACAAATAAATGTCGAAAATTACAAAGATGGTCTCTATTTGGTCTTGATGGGCTGTGGTCTCGGTCTTGTCTTGGTCTCAGTCTTTAAAAGTCTCAGTCTTGTGTTGGTCTCGACCCTCAGAGGTCTTGGTCTTGTTCTGGTCTCGGGACCCTGTGGTCTCGGACTGGTCTTGGTCTTGACTACAACACTACATAACAGAAAACACATAGAATACAATTTAAAACAACTAAATCCAACTTTAACATGTATAATTATTCCAGTTTTGTACAAAAGACTTATTTAATATCATACTTAAACTGTATTATAAGTTTTTCATGCATACTTTATACTTTCACATACAACACAATAATAATACACTCTTTCCACCTTATTCTCCTCATAATGATGGACACATGCAGAGAACAGGCCAAACATCAAAACTAAAAGCCTTTGGGACAATTTCGATTAGTGTAATTTTGCTTGAAATAAGATGCACAATCTGTAAGTGCAACAGAGCGTGTCAAAAACTGAATGTCAAAAACTTTCCGTGACTGGCCATACGTGCAAAGCGTAGATGCATTAGCAAAAACAATATGAAAAAGTAAACAAAACAAAAGTAAACCCGATAAGCTTCTGAGTCACTTGGTACATATCACACTATATTATCAGAATTAGGCGTGTCACGATAACAGATTTTGATACTGCTGAACAAAATAAAGAAAATGAAAGATATTGTTGCAACTGACACAAACACCGATGAGGAGCTTAAACTACAAAGCTATTCTAAATCTACAATATTGTTAAAAATCATGAGCTGCAAAAAAAGAAACAGAAGAATGAAACACTTTAGAAGTTAGTTTGCATCTGTAATGAGTCATAGAAGTTATTAATTTGACCTTTTATGGCTCAAATTGTTTCGTATAGCCAAAAAATAACCAAAAATGTCCCAGTAGTACAAAGAAAAAGCCCCCACAAATAAATATATTGTTCCAGCTTTCATATATTATTAATAATTATTATTAATAAGTCGATATAAGAAATATCGGGACAGGCTTAGTCAGAATACTTTTGCATGAACACTAACTTTAGTAAAATAAAATCTTCACTGCTTTAATTTTATCTGAAAAATTTGGAGTGATATATATGAGGAAGTCAGCTATTTCCTGATCTAAAATATGCAATAAATCAAGAGTCTGAATTCAAGTAATTTCAGAGCGAGAGAGACAAATGGGGAGAAAGTTGAACATGATGGCGTGTTGGAATGAATAGAATGGCACTGTACAAACTTACCTGCCCTAAGAACTGACTGAAAACTGTCAAATGTCTCTGCCCAGTGTCAAACCACACAACATTACATTCAAAGTCAGAACACATAACCCACTTGTTGGTCTTTCCATCGTCACGTCACGGCTCAAATCCACTGCAGATGATCAAATAATCTGAGAAATGGCGGCAATGTAGCACCTATGTATCTATACAGTGGGTCAACACACGGGGAAGCTTTGAGTGAATGAGGAGACTTAACATGGAGATACTGACTGACCCGTAAAGTTGTACTCCAAATGATGTCATACTATGGAGAAGGTGTATTTACATTCCAAAAAGAAGATGTAAGCCCAAACAGAAGCTTCCAGTGAATGTCCAAGGAGGGAAATCATTTAAAAAGGTAAAACTATGACGTAAACAGATGGTTATGGCAAAGAAATCTGCCTTTATCCAACCAATAAACCAATTTAATGTATTTAAAGGTGCACTAAGTAACTTTTCTGATAATGGACACAAGCAGGTGATGTTACTAGGCCAATTTACAGGTCTGATCTGTGAATAAGCGACCCGTTCACAGCAAGAATGCCAATTTTTTTGAGGTGTTTTAACAATAAAAACTCCTGTCATTGAATAAATGTGAGATCAATAAGAAGCATACTGAGGAGCATACAACAAAACGCAGATACACAATTTCCACAGAGACATGCAGGTGCCGAACTCCTAAAGAAAAGTTACATAGTGCATCTTTAACAGCCTTGTATTGCATGGCCTACCTGCTTTGAACACGCTGCTACAATAAAAGCAACATCTAAAAACACTTCAGTACTCAAAAAGCATGGTAGAAAATTACACGCTGAAAGGTCAGGCTTGAAAAGTTCAAGTAATTTTATGGGAAATAGAAAATATCTACCTGTGAAAGGTTGTCAAGGTAAATTAGTTTTTCCTGTTTTTTTTGTTTTTTGTTTTTTTTTCCTTCTTATTTTTTAAACAAATGTTGAAATAAATTTAAATATGTAAAAAGCCTGAAGCCTGGTTTACTGGGGTTGCACCTCCCAGAGCCTATAAGATAATTTTGAAATGTAATAAAGGTTTATAAGAGAGTTTCCTGGACATTATTAATTATGTAGTATGTGCTGATTGTTTCTAAAATGTTGCTTGGAAAAACAATCTTCTATCAACTACATTAATTTAAATAAAATGTACTTACGTTTCATTCACAGTAGTCAACAGGACGCTTCTTAACAGCATAATCTTTACTTTTATAAATACATCCACCTGCCAATGTTGGATTTTCAATTTTATAAATAAAGATGTAGGGAAAAAAAGCGTGTGCAGCGCAGCAGCCAATCAGAGTGTAGGAAAGTATTCCTGCTCCGCAAATACGGAAGTCAGCTGCAGCGAGCAAACGTCAGCACAAGACTGACTGCATTTTTTTATTTCTTGATCTCTTGCATCTCAAAGGGCGCAAAGATCGATACTTTTTGCTTTAGACGTATTTAATTTTCTTTTTCTTTCGCTCCATGGAGTTGCTGTCGCTTCTGTCATGGGCCTGCATCGTGTTTACGGTCGGGATGTTCTCGACTGGGCTGTAAGTTCTATTTTTGGACTCAAATACTTGGTTCTTGTTGCAAAAATAAAGGGCATGCTTACATAAATGACAAACTACGCATTGATGGATAATTAATTCATTTAAAAATCTCTTACTCGACATCAGAACAGATTTGTGTAACTTTACTGTTTGTGTCCTTTTTCCTTTTAGGTCCGACTTGAAAAAAATGCGGGAAACAAGAAGCACGGACAACATTCAGTTCCTACCCTTCCTCACTACCTGTCTTAAGTGAGTGCATTGTCATCTTTTTGTCATTTTGTGATAGTTTCGCTGTGTTTCAGTGCTTGTTTGTTGTTCTTTGTCTCTGAGAGATGCTCTTCTCGTTTCCACAGTAACCTGGGCTGGTTGTATTACGGGATCCTGAAGAGGGACCAGACCATTGTTTTGGTGAATGTCATTGGTGCCTCACTGCAGACGCTCTACATCATTGTGTTCATTCACTACGCAAAGCAGAAGGTGAGTGTATTGTATTCAAGAGCGGAATACACTCACCACGTCCTGTCAAGAGACTTTGGGCATTGGAAAATATATTGAGATGATTGAGAAAGCAACAAGTCGCAAGAAGTAGAGCTTTCTCCCACAAATCTGAAAGTGTTGGCAAAAGGAGAAATATCAGTTCACTTGGACAAAATGTATTTGGTCAAATACGTTTCGCAGCTCATGAATAATTATGCTAATATGGCCCCACAAGTAGTGCAGTTCAACAGGTCTAGAGAACTAACAGAAACTGCAAACAGGTAGTTGTGTTAGTTTCAGAGTAGTTTCATTGTAGTTAACTCCTCCCTGCAGGCAGATATAAGGCAAGGCAAGTTTATTTGTATAGCACAATTCGTACACAAAGTAATTCAAAGTGAATTTACAGAATAAGAAATACATTAAAATCATAATAAAAACAAATCAAAACATAAATAATCATGAAGATTAAAATAAAAAAGAGAGACATAAATTGGAGAGAAGAGTGCGGAATGAAAACCTTTCAGTTATATGCACAGTTAAACAGAAATGTTTTGAGCCTGGATTTAAACAGCATCACAGAAGAGGCCTGTCTCACATGTTCAGGAAGACTGTTCCAGGTTTTAGCTGCATGAACCTGAAACGCTGACTCCCCTTGTTTAGTCCTGACTCTGGGCACCAGCAGGAGGCCGGTCCCTGAGGTCCTCAGAGTGCGAGATGGTTCATATGACACTAACATGTCACAGATGTACTTTGGTGCTCGGCCATGGAGAGACTTGTACACAAGCAGAGCTGCTTTAAAGTCTATTCTCTGAGGCACAGGAAGCCAGTGCAGAGACCTGAGCACAGGACTTATGTGCTCGTACTTCCTAGTTCGAGTAAGGACCCGAGCTGCAGCGTTCTGGATGTTCTGCAGCTGTCTCACAGCTCGTTTTGAGAGACCAGTGAGCAGACCATTACAGTATCTAACCTACTGGAGACAAACGCATGGATAAGTTTCTTCAAGTCTGCTTTAGACAGTAAACCTTTGATTTTTGCTATGTTTTTTAGATGGTAAAAGGCTGCAGATGTTATTGATTTGATGTGGCTGTTAAAGTTCAAGTCTGAGTCCATTATTACCCCTAGATTTCTTGCCTGATTTGAAGGTTTTAGAGAGAGAGACTGGAGGTGACTGCTGACACTGTCCCTTTGTTTTTGTGGACCAAACACTATGACTTCAGTCTTGTCAGAGTTTAGCTGGAGAAAGTTGTTTTGCATCCACACACTGATCTGTTGGATGCAATGACCAAGTGAGTCCACTGGTCCATAGTCTCCTGCTGCCAGAGAGACGTAGATCTGAGTGTCATCTGCATAATTGTGGTAGGACACATTATTGCTGCTTATTATAAGGAAGTGTCCACCAGCATTTTGACCAGAACTGGAGACCAAATAACTTTTGTGCAGTTGACAAATTGAATTTCTCCTTTTTCCATGGATTCTACCTGGACGAGTGATGGATTTTTCACAAATCTGAAGGTTAATTATTTGATTTAGACTAGGGGTGTAAAATTGTCGCGTTAATTGCGATTAATTAATTACAGTCATATTTAGCGCCTTATGTTTTTTATTTGCGTTAATCTAATTTTTAATCTCTAACTTTACTGTTTCTGTATGCGAGTTGCTTTATTATAAAATCTGTTTTTATATGTTGTTGGGACAGCAACACACACACAAAAAAAACACATTTATTATTTTTTTTATTTCTGTAATTCCACTTATTGCCGGAAACCCACACAGAACGCGCGTAGTAAGAGCGATGTAAACGTCATGTTCACGTTGGTGGCGTCAGTCACACAGTGGACGAGGTCGAAGAGCCAGTAGAACAGAGGCAGCAGTGCACGGTAAAAACGCATTCGTGTCTTGGAAATTCTTCTCCCGACATGAGATATAAAAGAAAATAACAAGTATAAAATCGCCTACAACTTGTCAAACCGGAGCTACTGGTACTGGTGAAAACAACCTGCATAGGCTCATAATATCTGCTCTACTGTCCTATAGTGACCTGCCACATGAGGGGACACACACACAAACACACGCAAACACAAACACACACCCTCATCATCGTCATCAACCTGAGAACGTGCAGACCACGTCTCCTTCCGTAGCTACTGCGCGGACACCACTGTCCTCCCGTGCGCCGCGTGTGGATCGTGTTTTCTTGTGTACGCTGCGTAAACCGCGCTTCCTCCTGTGCGCCTCTAAACCAGAACTAACACCAAGACTAAAACCAGGACTAAACCAGGACTAAACCAGCCCAGGACTAAACCAGTGATCTCATACATAAAGCATTTCTCTATCAATAATATGTTTAATATGGTGAAGGAAAGTCTGGGGTTTTTATTGGTTTTAAGCAGACAAAACATCTTATGTTCAGATTTCCTAGTCTTACGTGAAGATCCTGGTCTTTGCTACTTTACAGGAAACAGTTTCTTATTCATGGAGACTTTGGCTCAACAGCCAATTTGAAGAGAACAAACAAGAATTTTCAGGATGTGGTTGCTACATTCATGTAGTTTTAAAAACCATGACAATATCAAGTAATCCAAAGTATTCAGATTATGTTACTCACTTTAAATGGATTACGTTACAAACTACATTTTGAGATATGTAATCTTTAAGGGAATACATTTTAAAAGTAACCTTCCCAACACTGCAGATTAGTAATAGTAATAATAATGATGATACTGTGGAATGTAAGTGACTGCAACTGTTAAAGTTTGTTAAACAATAAATAACTTTATAAAGTCACTTTTTTTGTTCTATATCAGTCTTTTGATCTGCCACAATAATGTAATAATGAATTTAAATGAAAATACCTCAAGTTGAAGCTTTTCTCAGCAATTTTTAGGTGGGATTAAAAAGAGATTAATTAGATTAATTACAAATCATAATTAATTAATCTCTCAATTTTTTTAATCGCATGACAGCACTAATTTAGACATGATCATATTTTTATACAAGGCACTCAAACCGCTTTACAACAAGGAACCACCCACCCATTCACACACGCATTCATGCACCAGTGTACACAGACACTGGTGTACACAGACACTGGTGTACACAGACACTGGTGTACACAGACACTGGTGTACACAGACACTTGTAGGTTCAGTGTCTTGCCCAAGGACACAACACCAACATTCATCTATAGGAGCTGGAATCACATCAGTGGATTTGACCGCTCAACCAATGATGTTAATGTTGAGAGCAGGATTCGAACACCAACCTTCGGATCAGTGAACAAATGCTGTTGTGTGTTGTGTGTGATTTAGGTTCCAGCTGGTGCACATTGTTGTTGTGTCCTTTGGCAAGACACATAAGCCACCTTGCCGCCAGAGTCCATAAGATAAGATAACATTAAACCTTTATTTGTCACACAATGAGGAAATTACCGTGTTGCAATGCAAAGTTGAACAGAAGTAGAATAAGAACCTGCAATCAAAATAAAGATAAGTTGTACTATAAAGATTTACAATAGAAATAAAATCTAACGCAACACTGTGCCAGCAGAGTACAACTAAGGTGAGTGTGGATTGAAATTGGCACATGTCTACAGTTCTGTCTGTTTACATTCAGTACCGTACTTTATAGGCTATTGGGCGTGCTCTTAAGCCTTCAACCCCATCAAAAAACGACTGCTGAACCCCACAATCCAGAGCACCCTATACACGAATCCACTCGGGTGTCCCAGCACAACTTCAGTAAAATACAAAGATGCACCACCCGCAGCACACGCAAACACACATGGAACAGACAGCGACCTCACAGCGAAAAACACCTAGAGACACACTCATCACTCCACGCTGACGAGGAATGGAACAGAGGAACGAACCAAAAAAATCGAGTGCAATGTGCCACTTCTAGCCACAACTGAACAACTGAGTCACTGCAAACACGCCGACAATCCAGCGGTCCCAGACAGCACCCTCACTACACGCCACAACTGAACAAAGACGAGAGTCACCGTGAACGCGCCAAACAAAGTCCCACTGAGCCATCTAACTGTTGTTTTGTTTAAAGTCTGGTGCAGTTTATTTGTGAAAAAAGTTTGAAAATAGACCATTTAATGACGTTTTATAATCCAGAATGCCTAATAGTGCAGAAAATACGGTATATGGGAGGGAGAGTGTGTATTCACTAAAATGTACTATCCCAACCAACTATTGAAAGACAAAAGACTTATTGGGTTATACCAAAGTAGATTATAATTTCATATAGACAGAAAAGAATATCAATATAACATTATCATACAATACCTCTTACAATTTATGCATCAATTGTTCACTTGCTGTTTTATTGTGGTTGTGTTGCAGAAGCCGTTCATGTCCCAGACGCTGTTCGCAGGTGCCGTTTTGGCTGGAGGCTGGTTCTACTTCTCCACTTTTCTTCCGCAAGGAGAAACTCAACTCAACCAGCTCGGCCTGACGTGCAGCGCCATCACCGTCAGCATGTACCTGTCCCCGCTCACAGATCTGGTAAAGCGCTTCATCATTTTGTCAGTGATATTCAGTTTATTCTGAAAGAAACGTGGTGGATTATTATCAGTGTAGAAAATCACGTGTCACGGCAGCTCTTAATACAGAGCAAAGTGCAGAATGTATTTAAGGCAGCGAAATTAACATCTGAATACAAATAGATGTAGACACAGAGATAAAAAAATATATAGAAATATAGAAACAAAATACTAAAACATAATAAAATTCACTCTATTCAATTCATTTTATGTATTCCCTACTTTCTCCTACTATTTTCAACATTTTTTATACATACAGAAGCAAGATGTATGGAAATATTTAGTACAGAAAAGAAAAATTAATAATTCCACTAAATTTTTTTTGACAAAGCGTAAGGTTTCTCAACTTTGGTTATTTATTTGGTCGATTTGGTTATAAAATATTTTTAAAATGTAACTTTTTTTTCTTTGCTCCATAATTCCTACCGCGTACTTACTATGTTTGATGTCTTCTGTATGTACTGTAAATTAAATAATTATTAAATTACATTAAACATATAGAAAAAAAAACATTGAATAATAGAGTGACTCCAAACTTTTGACTGGTAGTGTATATTTTATGTTTGTAGAGAACGTTTCAACATTTAGTTTTATTATGCTGATGACAGTTTTATGATGATCCATATAAAATGTTTTTAAAGGCTGAGGTTCAAATAGTAAAACTTGGATGTACAGTAAGTTTAATTGTACTTGTTAGCACATGAATTGTTTGAGTACACCGGATGTTTCTGCTCTTTTTAACTTTTTCTTTTTGCTGGCTTTGTTTTATCATGTAGATGATATGCTTGACATTTTAGTTTTGCACATCCTCAAAACAACAATTGTGTTATGATTTGTGTTGAGTATAGTTCCTAACTGTAGTTTTGAGTTCTCATTGCAGGCCTCAGCAGTTCCCTTTGCTTTATGGGAAACTGAGGACTCATACGCATGCACATAGACAATACTACAGACACACAATCTATTTTACAATAACCTTTTAGCGCTAACTGTGACCTGTGCACGTGCATTCTTCCCCAGTGAGTCTTTCATGTCGTCTCTTGTCCACATCCATTTTCCTGTTTGTCTCCTTCTCTCCTTCAGCCCCTGAGCTCCAGCAGCCCCCAGTTTCCTGCCTTTCTTCCTCTCATCTGCTTTATCCTGTTATTCTAAATGTTTAACTATCTCCGCAGTACAACCTTGGGTACAATTTTAGTGTTTTGTGTATAATATCTCCCTCTAGTTTACATTTGGTTGACAAAGATGAACTACTATGCAAAACTATTTAAATATGTCTTACTTGTGTTATGTGTTACTTTTCAAATTGTTATGATAATTGTCTTATTTTAAACTTAACTTCATCAAGGCCATTGCACTTACCCTGTTGCAGACATGTCAAGCTCAGGCCCAGGGACCAAATTTGGGATCAATTATGGATTAGAGCTGGCCCACCGGCTACAGATCGGCTGTGGAAACATTATTTATTTAAAATGTTGTTGTTATTTTATATTAAGCTTGCTGTGGATTCAATGTATAAGCAAGCCTATTATTAAACGTTTATTTTAATAAGAAAGGGTTTAACATTACCTATCTCGAAAGAAAAGAAAACACGCAGATGTTGTTGAAATTTTTCAGTAAATATTTAGCTTGGCCCACGACTTTGTCCCAGTTTTTAATTTCTGCATTCTGTGAATTTGATTTTGACACCCCTGCCCTATTGGATTTAGTTTTCTTTTATTAGCTAGGTTGTCTTTAAACCTGAAAAAATATCATTAAACAAGTTAAATCTAGTTCTGAATAGTTAAAGAATGATAATTATTCTTTATACAAGTCTTTATGCCTCGTGTATTTTAAAGGTGTACTATGTAAGTTCTCTGATTGAGGGTCTGCCACCTTTCTGTTTTCATGGAGATATTCTTTTGCTCAGTATTACGAGCAAGTTACAGATCAGAGCTGTGGAAAGAAGACTCTTCTCACAGTAAGAATGAATGCTGAATCAAGGTATTTTGAGCAATAAAAAAACACATTTCAGTAAATTCAAAATGAAAGTTTAATGACAAACCATTGAACAAACCATTGAATAACATGCATGGAAACAAGGATGTATCAGACACTCCTCTAGAAAAGTTACATAATGCACTTTTAATATTTTTCCACTCAGTATTTACATTACTCAGTTTTATTTTGAAGTGATGGTCATTTTGTTCTTGTAAACATCTATTACCACCAGATATGTAAGCTCTCATGCGTACAGATACTGCTTATGACCTTGCTGCTTTTGCCTAACAAACTCTGCTCTTCCTTTTTAGTTCAAACATCATCCGCAGTGGTAACGTGCAGTGCTTGTCCTTCCCTTTGACTGTAGCCACCTTCTTCACCTCCACGTCCTGGGTTCTCTACGGCCAACAGCTGAATGACTACTACATCATGGTTAGTAACGTACAGTATAACAGTTTTACCTCTGACAAATACAAGCACTTGACATTAAAAGAGAAATAACATGCACAATTGACTTTAATACAGTTTAGACATGTCATTTTGCTTATTTTTCCTTATCATTAGCTTAGTCAGAGTCATATTCTCAGTGATTCATGTTTGTGCAATCATGTGTAGTCCTGCATTTGAGGCTTGAGTGCTCAGAAAATTTCCATTTGTATGTGTTTGTTTTTCCTTTTTAGTTTCTGTTGTAAATCATTTAAGATCAATATTACAGTTTACAGTGACCAACATTTAATCTACATGTGACAGATTATCATTGAAATACCAGGAAAAAACAAACAAAAACATATCTTCGTATCTTTAACATGAGCCAACTTGTCTTTCCTGGTAGATTTCCATTTTGGCTCTTAACACTATTAAATCTGGAACCACATGGGTTTTACACAAACTTTAATTGAGATTCTGCAGTGTTCTTGGGTTGTACTTAAAGTACTATTAAAGGCGCTCTACCTGATTCTTAAAAATGTGAAAAGCAGAGTTTTGTTGTGACTCTAAAGCTATAACAACCACTATCATGTTAACACACTCTTCCTGACTATGAAACAATAAAATGCTCTCTGATTTTTATTTCTGTTTTGACCTCAAAAGCTGATTATAACTGTTCTGGGGAAAGACAAATTTTGCTCAGTGACACTGGGAAACGAAATCTGGTACAAGGCCTTTTAATACTTGCAAGGGAACACACCAAATTGTAGTGACATTTGAAAAGGACAGTGTCCAGTAAGTGAAATGTTAGTGTGAAAATCTGCAAAATGCCATAAGGAAAACTGATCTGTCTGTGTGTGCTTTTGTGTTACAGGTTCCCAACACGCCCGGCATCCTGACCAGTGTTATCCGCTTTTATTTATTCTGGAGGTTTGCACCTGGTTCAAGCTCACCTGGTTACAAGTCTATGGCAATGTGAAAAATGGATGGAAAAAGTTACACAAACTTTAGGGAAATGTGGTTACAGACAAATCATGTGCAATGTCCCATTTACCTGCACAGAGCCTAAAAGCACAAGTGGTCTGTCATTAAAGGAGACATATGATGCAAAATCGACTTGAGCGAGCGTTTAACCATGTTGTAATGGTTTCCCCTCAGAGCTGTAATTTAAAAAAGTTAAATTTTCAGCTTTCACCAATCAAATCTTCACACAAGTGATACACATTTTCTACAAATAGTAAAAATGGTCTTTTCATGATTATTAAATACCAGAGGTGGGGACTTGCAAGATGTGACTTGGACTCAAGTCAGACTTGAGCCACTTATTTTTAGGACTTGAGACTTGACTTGATAAAATGGACTAAGACTTGGAACTCGACTTGGACTTGAGGTCTGCAACTTTAGAAGACTTGAGAAGCACTTTTAAATCAGAATTTTTTCTGTTCTGATTCACACTAAGATCTTGTCAAGACATTTAAAAAGGAAAAAAATACATTTCTACAACTTTTTTATAATCCATAAATACTCATATATAGATATACTATGATTTTTTTGGTACAAATTATCTTAAAATTGATATAAATTGCAAAAACATAAGCTATAGTTGGTACTTTGGTTTAAAGACTTGAAATTACTTGAAGCTTAAATCAAATGACTTGGACTTATGGGCCAGTGACTCGAGACTTGACTTGGACTTGAGGTCAAAGACCCGAGACTTACTTGAGATTTGCAAAACAACGATTTGGTCCCACCTCTGCTAAATACCACAGAGAGCATAATATGTCTTCTTTAAAAGTGCATTATGTATGTTTTCTGATGGGGAGAGGTCCACCACCTACTTGTCTCCATGGAGATGTTATTGCTTTGGAAGGTTCCACAGTATGGTATTAACTCTCACCCTGAAGGCGTTTTTATTTCTCAAAAATACCTTTGAAAACATGGTCGCTTCTCCACAGATCTGAAATGTACTTGGCCTCGTGGGGTCACCTGCTTCTCTTCATGGAGATAGAAAAGTTTAATGCCGCACTGTAAAACATTAACGAAGCGATAGTACGTCTCTCTGTGGTCAAGCAGGTAGCAGAACTCAAAAAAAGAAAACTTATGTAATGTACAATTTTTTTAAGTTTGTTTTTACGGTCTGTGTTGTGTCTATCTTCTTAAGTGCCTTTTACAAGCCCAAGTCTGCTGTTTAAAACAATGGCATATTTGGAAAACAACAGCGTTCATTTTAAAGGCTGGATCTTATCTCGCCACATCAGATTAGCCAAAGACTTTTGTAGCTCAAGTTGGCTGCTATTGTGATTATATTTGTCACTTTGTGCATCGATACGTGATTGTGAATGTGTACATCTTGCCTTATGGACCTTGTAACTTTCTCTCATTGTTTACAACAATCAATAGCAGTTAAATAATAATAACTTTATGAAGACTATCTATGAATTGTTTTGATACATAGCCACTTCCTGTTTATGCTATTTTTCTAAGCTATTTTTCATGAGATTGCAGCTTTCAACCTTGGGAACACTAAAGAGTTTGTTTACAAGAATGTGGTCAGGGTTATGGTGTTTAATACATATATGTTGTATATCTAAGTTATTGTAATAGCCAAGTGTCTTAGAAGTACTTTGTGAATACATTATACTTGAGAAACCATATTCATGTTGTGTGCTTATTTCTTGTATATATTTTTTTTTTACCAGAGAATGCCAGAGTAATGATACTTTCTACCGATGTAAATAGCAATTTGTAATGGTTGGTATTATACAGGGTAGCTGTGGGGTCTTAACAGTCTTAAAAAGGTCTTAAAAAGTCTTAAATTATGTTGTCCAAGTCTTATTTTTTTCACAAAGCTCTTAAATTTCATTAGCCTATCTTTTTGTAAACTGGGCTGCAGTGCAAAGTTAAACAGAGGGAGGAAAAAAACAAAAAAGTGAAATCATGTATGAATGAATGTCTAATTTGGAGTATGCACAAACAATACTTAGTTTGTTTTGTTAGAATGTTATAAATGATTTTTTGGCCATTTTACAAGCAGTGCATGAGTTCTGATTGAGAAGTATTTTTTGTTATTTAAAGAGGTGAGTAATGGTCATTATAAAAATTTAATCTGGTGTTTTTTGCCCGCATAATGGGTGTGATGTTGCTCTTACTTTTCATTTAAGTGGTCTTAAAAAGGTCTTTAAAATGCCTTAAATCAAATCTGGGGATACTCTTTCGTAAATCACAAAGGCTACAGTTCTTTAATGCTTTATTCTAACATTCCAGTTTAGACCTCGACAAACATGTTCTGAAAGGCTTGTCGTTTTTGCATAGTTTAGCAGTTCATATTTCAGTCTCCTCTGAAATATTAATCCTCCGGGACTATGTTACATTATCAGATTTTAGGTAATAATTTTTGTGCGAAGAAACATCACGATTTAACAAGTATTCACAATTTTAAGCACCATGGCAACAAGAAAATCCTTCATTTTGTTTCATTGCTGTTTAATACATTTCCATCTCTCTTTGTGATTAGCCTTACATAATCAAACTGAGTGAAGAAAAAAAAAATTAGTGTAATACAAAGCTTTAAAAAGCACTTCATGTAGGTTTACTTTTCTGCACAATAGAATAAATTTAAATTGATTATATTTTGTTCCTCAATTTAACCAGTTAATCTTGACTTTCCTATTCTGTATGTAAAAAAATGTGCACAATGAACTTAATTTTGATTTAAAAAACAAAAATCCTATCACAATTATAATATTTGTGAGAAAAATGCCTTATTACTCCTCCATATTTCTCCTAAAACTGCTGAGCGCTTAAAGCTCTGTATTTTTCTCGTGGAGTGGGCTGAACTTGACCCCGGTTGTATCCTTTGTGTTTTTGCTTTGTAATGAGCGTGTTCACAGATGAGTGGAGATTAGTTTGTTTGTGTGCGATGGGGACAGAGGAGGGAGGGGGCGAGAGGAGGAGACAAAGGCTGTTTGATGGAACAGCGGTGTGACTCGGCGTGCTGTTGGTGCTTGTGTGTTGACAGTGCGAGCGGCCAGTGGTGGTGGGAAAGGACGGGCCAGAGGTTCTCATCCCTGGACCCCTGTCTGTGCGAGGAGGAGGAGGAGGAGGAGGAGGAGGTGGAGGGAGAGACGGGGGGTTTTCCTGAGCTCAAAGCGACAGCCTCCTCACACAGAGAACAGACACTACACAGGATTATCGTACAGTAGAGTAAAGTGGTGAGATGTAGTGGGAGATTTGTGAGATGAGATTTGTAAAGAGTATCAGGTGGGTAGAGGAGGCAAAAATTGTACTCAAGTAAGAGTAACGTTACTTCAAAATACAGTAATATCACTCAGAAATACAAAGTAGTGATCCAAGAAATTGCTCAAGTAGGAGTAACAAAGTCTTACAGAAAAGCACTAAAAGTAAGAGTAGCTTTAAAGTGTCAGGAAATTATATCTGATTTATAATTTGAAGTGAAAATAACTGGAAGAACAGAACAATAAATACTCCACAAATTTTGGTAGACACAAAAATGAGGAAAAAAAACCTAAACCATGTCTGAAGGAGCCTTGCAAGAAACACGAATGTCCAAACCATTTAATATTTTCAGCATAAGTTATATGTTATTAGGTTCTTTTTTTCAGACCTAGAGTGTTATTTCACACCTCTCATATGAATCTCATTGGACTTTTCAGAATAAGTGTTGCAAACTTACTCACAGTGAGAACCAGCACCGCCACTACTTTTACTCAAGTAGGAGTAAAAGTATACTGCTAAATTAGTAAAATTTCATTAAAAAGTTACTCAAATAAATGTAAATGAGTGCTACCCACCTCTGAGAAGTTTCCATTCTGACGCTGAAAGTCATTGCTTGCAAGTCCAAACCAGTCCTGTCCTGAAAAGCAACGTAATTGACAACTATTTTTCATATTTTTTTAGAACAAACTTTTTATATGCAAAACATATCTTCATTTGGCCCTCATCACACTAACACATGTTCATTTTGGCCCGCTCAGGCAAGACGTTGGGCAAGCCTGCCACAAATAATATAATGTGTGGCATAATGACAAGATGGAAACAGCCTGATGAGTTTGTGAGAGACACGAGTGTATTCTGTATTCTTCACTCTTTAAATACTGAAAATCGTGTAAACACAATGAACGCAAATGCAACGTATGTCTATACAGAAAGGAAATAAAAAGTAACAAAATGAACCAAATATTGCAAAATGTTAGAGGGAAAGTTTGGAATTTTGGACATAGGACCTCATTTCCTAGTGAGTCAGAATGTTGGAGACGTGTGGAGACACTTTTTTAAATATTCCATCCAGTCCTTGTATTTGCAGAGGTCGCTGGTGCTAGGCTAGTGCATGTCAATGGCCATAGTTAGCCTGCCACTTAAACCAGTCTTGCCCACTCCACAAAACACCCAAAGCAAATCTGTTATTACTCCAGATTGTCGATGTAAATGTTAGTGTTGACAGAACAATGTTTGAAATAAAACTAACCTTGCATCGTATGAATCGTCGCATGTTGAGGGACTATTTTCTCATATATCTGTCCACCGCTGCCGAGCTTTCTATCAGGAAGTACAACTCACTGCTGCTGCTCAGACATAAATCCTTCACATGCAAGGTTGGTTTTACTTCTAAAATTATTCTATTAATAAAGACATTCACATCAACAGTTTGGAGTCATAATTGTTTTGTGTCAGGTGCTTTTAAGACTGTTTTTAGTGGCAGGATAACTATGGCCATTGACATGCACTAGCCTAGCACCAGCGACCTCTGCAAATACAAGGACTGGATGAAATATTTTAAAAAGTGTCTCCATGAGTCTCCAACACTCTGGCTCACTAGGAAATGAGGCCCTATCTCCAATATTCCGAACTGTCCCTTTAAAAGTCATACATTAAATCATCATCATCAAAATGGACTCATTTGACCTTTAAGTGGAGTTAATGTGATTAATTGAGATTCAGGAGCTGGACCACAACTCAGCCTCCACTCCAGTCAACCACAGCTTTTCTCAACCTCGCTTTAAATTACCCAGAAGCCCTAGTTATACGGCCATCCTGACAACACCGTCTGTGTCAGCTCTCTCGACTGCAGCCTGTAGACATTATCTTTAAGGAGGGGGTAGTTCCGAATCAGCTGGGTGACCATTTTGGATTGGAGACAGATCCCCCACCTTGAGTTTCCCCCAGCCTTCAATCACATCCATCCACTGTCAATAAACATCTTTTATCGTCTTCCATTGTAGCGGCGTGGTCTTTTCTAGTGAAGCCATTTTATAATGTCTTTCACTAGCTAGGACCACGCCAACAATGACATAGTGCGAAGAAGTTTATTGATAATGTACGAAGCGAGGCAGAGATGGCTGGGTTGAGACTATGGGTGGGGGCTCCATCTCAATCTACAATTGGCCCAGCTGGAACGGGACCCCCCCTTGTAGGAGTCTTATGGCTGAAAGACAAAATAGGGGATGGAAGGGTGGGGTCGAGTTAGCCGAGACAAACTGGGATGATGGGAAAGGCTGCTACATATAGACTTCTGGAAAATTAGAGGCGTGGTTGAGGTGAGTTGTGGTTCACTGGTGAGAGGAGAGGGCGGCTGAGGCGTGGTCCTGCTCCTGAATCTCAGTTAATCATATTAACTACATTTACTTCCTCAAAAACAGACCTGGAGTTGTGTTTTGTTTCATTCACACATTTGAGCAACCCTTTATTATTAGTCTGTCTACATCTCCAACCTCAAAAAGCTCTGTTCCAGCTTGTGATGTCATGAAGAGCTAGTTTTACTTTTAGTTCAGTAGAGATTGGGAAGAATTGAAATTATCCAAATGATTCTAATGAAGTTATATGGAGTTTAAAAACAAAGTGGAGCACTTTCTGTATTACCACATGACCTGAATGTTTGATTAAATTGAACACAACTCCAGGTATGTTTGCGATGAGGAAACAACATTGTAACATAGATCAGGAAATTGCGTAATGTCTTTTTTTGATCATGTGTAATGTAAATGTTTATATTCCACGTTATAGTCTGGTTTACAAGTTATAAAAGACATGATAAAAACTACACTTGTGAAAAGAAATTACCAAAAAGAAAAAGTTCCAGATTTGTCATCGTAGGCTCATTTAAATGGTTTTCTGAATCATATTAAACCTGTATCACTCTTTTAATCATTTATAAACAATGAATCTATTTTGCTTTTCAGACCAGAAGATGATGCGTATCGGACAGGCTAAAACAGAGCGGTGAGTCAGACTTATCAGATCTGGGCTTAGGAAAGAGAGACTGATGCTGCTCTGTAACACTGAGAGACGGCACCAGGAAAAGGGTGAGTCATTCATCAGGAAACGTTGGGCCAGTTCTTTCATTTCATCACAGCAAAAAGAAGTGAGCTCTCGTCAAAAGTACAGCGTGAGTCAATATTCGTAGGTCTGAATGTATACAGGTTTATATCGCAAGGTGTGTGACTCAAAACATATGAACATTTTGTATCCTGAGGCAACTGGTCATAAACACAGGCTCACCTTTTACCTATATCTGCAACCTGCACAGGTGAAGACAGCAGCTCAAGATTTACTGTCAGATATTATCAGCTGTGTTGACGATATGTTTGAAGAGCCTTTGCACAATTTCTTGAGCAAAATTTGTCTCACCCCAGTCC